TTGGAAATTTTTTTCCTTTTGTTTTGTTGAGGCACAATGCTTCAAGCATTTAAAGAAAGAAAAAAAAAATAAGAAAAAAAGAACAATTTTAACTAATCGATCATGTAAAAGCATCAATCAATTTTCACTTTCTTCTTCAATCCATATGTACAGCGATTTCTTTCCTTTCTTTTTTTTTTTTGTCTTTTTTTTTGTATGTTCTATTTGCACAAAAGGCGTGTCTTTTGCACCATCAGTCTTTCACGTTCATTGCATTGTGCGTGTTGTATTTCGCTATTTCTATGTGTGTGTGTGTATGTGTGCATTATCCTATGAGATGAAATGACAAAGAAAGACAACGACAACGCTTAAAATAAGCGTGTGTATCATTTCTGTTCAACATAACTCTCGTTTTATTTTGTTGTTACACTAGGCAAAAGAAGAAAAAAAGGACATAAAAGGTTATATGTACAATGGGCGATGGTTCATTTATTTAGATAGATGTGAGGAAAAAAATAATACATGAAGAATTTCGACGACATACAACTATGTTAATTATAGCCATATTGTGAATAAGTAGAATTTAGGTTTTGTTATTCTTTACAAATGATTATAAATTGTAATGAATGACTTTAAATAAAGATCTCAAACTACTAATTTTTATGAAGAAGTTGACATGTAACTATTCTCTTTGTCATTCATCTTAATGAAATAAACTTTCCACGTAGATAGAGTCGATTGTTGTTATTCTCTTGACAGATCGACAATCCACACTACATCAATCATTTTATTACTTAAACGTCTATTTTATGGCTTCAATAATATGACTAAACAAATTGAAAAGAAAAAAAACTATTTGATAAATAATAATAAAACTAAACGACTTATTATTAGAAAAGAAATACGAAAAAAAAAATTCAAAATCATATTGTTTCTATTTATAGCATTTCAACGTAAATACAATTGAAAATAGAACAGAAGAGATTAAAAAGAAAAATAATTTTTTTGTTATTTATTTTATAGAAGTTCGAGTAATACTTAAGTAATGAAAAAAGAAAATTTTCTTTCAAGACGATAATTGTTGGATATCCGTCTCAAGATTTTTATTTTTTATCCTGAAAAAGTGCATACTCTAAAAATGGAATTATCCAATTGGCATACTTTTCATTATTTGAATACAAATATTTGTCCACATTTTTCCTTTTGTCTTCATATCGTTATCAAATATATCATACGAATTATTTCAAAGTTATATAACTTCCATATTTCATAGTATTTATATTTATTTAGAAAAGAAAAAAAATAGAAAACTTGTCAATCAGCAGTTTTTTTTATGATATCTGATCGTTCGAGTTTGTTTGTTAATGTCAATCAATAATAAAGAATGAGAAAAAAAAGAATAATTGTCTAAAAGAACAAAACACCAAAATCTAGAAGTTGTTCCTATTACACTGTAAGTGATATTAATGAAAAATGTCGATTTTCTCACTAGTTGTCTGTTTAATAATAACTATTAGCATTATCAATGGTCAAGAATATGTTATTAAACGAGATTTTCGTGCATCATATCAATATAACTCATTTTCTGTATTTACAAATGATGAATATCAACTAATTTATCGTATTGAAACACAATATTCATTGTCATATGTGGCAACAATTAAAACTATTTTACCTCTTAATGATTTTATTATTGTTGCACATATTGATTCATTTCTTGGATCAAATCGAATTTTTAATTTTCGTATACTTAATTCACTTTTAGGTCGATGGATTGATGGACGTATATATCAACAAAATATGCTTATTTATGTTATTGAACTTATTAATTTCCAAAAGATTATTATTGAATTATCACCGCCACGTACACCGGAGATGTCATCATTAAATAGTGTACGTTTTTGTGATGGACAAATATCAAATAGAATATTTGCAGATTATACACAACGAACACCATGGTTATCGATATATGATTTACGTTTATTTAGTAATGAATATCCAATTGAACTATATCTTGTTGGTTTCGCTATTGTACAACGACGAATGTAAATTGTGTTTTGATCATGATTTATACATATACACATATATATATGCGAGCGTGATTGAGACTATCGAATTTATAATTTATCTTTTTAATTGAAAAATAAATATATGACCGATACTATACGAAATCGATTTATATAAGAAGAAATCGAAATTTGATCATTGTATGATAGTGTACAGATATTTTCCTTTATATTAAACTTTGAAAGAAGTTTTTTATCTAATATTTTCCATATAAAATATAAAAGTTGTCCATTGAAGAAAACTTAAAACTATATATATGTAGCACAAAAGCAAACGCTCATGAAATAGAGAGATATCTAAAATGAAGATAAGGTATGGGCAATTAGAAACTCGAGAAAATTGTTTTTGCCTTAGTTGAATAGAGCTCATCGAGTAACCTATAAAAATGTTGTTTTTAACATATTCAGATGATGTTTTAGAGAAACTAGATTGACAAGTATCAGAGAAGTCTATAAAACTTGAAATATGCGAAAGATATCAAGTCTCAATATTGATCCGAATGTTTCTTTTAATTTTACCCATCATATAGTTCAGAAAAAAATGTTGTGTGATTTTTGAAAAATATTGTTTCATTATTGAGAAAATCAATTTTTTTAACATGATAGAAAAATGTCCTTCGTATAGGCTGGTATTTAGAAATTTTGGCCGTCAGAACTTCAGTTAGAAAAAAAAACCGAATATCATATTCAGAACGAATACAAAAATTTTCATCGAATAGTATATTCAATACTCAAAATTAATTTTCGTCAAATATCCGTTCTTACACTCAAGGTCAAAATATGACGAAAATTAGTTTTGAGTATTGAATATACTGCTCGATACAAATCTTTGTACTGATTCTGAATATGATATTCGTTTCTTTCGAAACTGAAGTTTTTTATGTTTAAAATCTTAGAAGACAGATCGATATATATATATGACTTTATTTGCTATGATATCAAAAAAGAAAGATTTTCTCAACAATCGAACAATATTTCTCAAAAAGCATGCACCATGTTTTTTCTAACTACATCATGATTAAAATTTTAAAAAATTTAAAAGCATCGTTTGAATATGTCAAAATAACATTTTCGATAGATTATTTGACGAGCTCTATTCAACTGACAAAAGAAACCTTTTTCTAATTTCGAATTCCTGGCAACTTACAAATTGTTAATATACATAAATATAGCATCCGAAAATATTGTTCAAGAATGTATCTAAAAACTTCATCTGCATATCGACAATTTGAATGTTCAATTTAGATTTCTCGTTGTATTATAGATTTCTGATTTTATACTACATATATACATATATTTATGTATTTAAATTTCTTCCAACACAAAAACTCTATCATTTACACCAAATATATTATTCTCAAGCGTTATGTCGTTGATTGATTGATAAAATGTTTTAAAGAAATTGTTTTTTTGTGAGAAATTTAATATTCATTTTCAACGAATTTTATGTTTTAATCTTCAAAATCGATTTAAGTTCATAAAAAACTCTTTTTTAACTGTTTTAGAAAAGCTTTCTGAAATTATTCGTGCAGCTTTTGTAGGAAAAATTATTGGTCAGAGACTTTTCAGTGATTTTATTAGTAATGAACATCATTTGAATCTATTTGATTGTTGATATTTTTGTACTTAATTATGTTCACTTAGATTATACTCTTATGCTATAAATAAAATAAAGGAATAGAAACAAATTTCCAATGAACATTGGCAAGCACTTTTGAATTTTATTATAGTTGAATGACACCTATTGACTACCCGCTATGAAGAAGTTTATCTCTCTAACCGGTTGATCGTGTTTTGGTATCTTGAGAGTCGATAAATACTTACTCTGCTATATGAAGTATAAAGTCTTCCAGTGGACAAGTCAATCTTAGAATTTCATGTTAGAGTGTTGTAGATTTCACCAAGAAAAAAGTTGTATCTATATCTGCTAAGCACCCTTTCAACATTTTTCTACTTTCATTTATTCAGAATTTGAGGATATTAATAATAGCTGCTTGCATGAGATCGGTTTTCTAGACATTCACTTGTGATATAATGTATTGTTTTAATTAATAAGTATTATATGACTTTAGCCGGAAAAAAATCTTTGCGAACACTCTAAAAATAGTCGTACAATATTTAATTACCTGTTACAAGTAGAGCCTGTCATGTTCGAAATTTTTGAACTTTACTTTGATACTTTCAATGAATTTTTCTAATAGAAATTGGATCGTCAGCCCGAAGATACAACATACTTTTTTCCGGGTTTTTGTACTCGGTGACTAGCGCACTCTATGTATTTCTAAGATGATTTGAGCACGTTCAGTCCAAAGTTTTTGAACCTGGATTCGGTTAAGAGAAGAATTTCTGATTCAGATCCGACCGGGTTCAGGTTCAGAACCAACCTGGGGGATTCTAGTCACGAGAGTCTTATTGTTTTTGATGAGTTTAACCATTCTATGGCATGCTTACTATTAAGTGCTATTTGTTTTTCATCATAAAGATAACGAAGTTACACCATATTGAATAGGAACAAAGCTACCACTCCGATCGTTACTATCAACGTGAGTTATCCGCGTTTCCGCAGTTTTCATATTGACTGTCGTAATACAGTTGGTAAATATGCATAGAAAAAGCTGAAAAGAAACAACGGTGAAAAAAACTTTTTTTTCTGTATTGATCGTCAACACACGATTGTAAATAGTGTTCCTATTCATTTCGTTTGCATATTTTTTACTTGTTCTCTGGGGCAGATAAGTAACGAACAACTTCAGGCTCTTACGAGATAGAAAAAAATTTCCAACAAAAAGAAAGTCTCAAATCATCAATTTTCATCAATTTGTTTGTCTCGCAACGGAAACATTTTTTATAACACTTTAGAAGATGCGCTTTTTGACACGTAAAATGTTCGCATGTTTCATTACATGTTTGACTAGACTTTTCTAGATATTGAACTTCAACATTCTAAGACAATCAATGAAAACACCGGAGGATGCACTATTATGTCCCATTACATTAGAACTATTTCGTAATCCTGTCATGGCACAAGATGGTCATACATACGAGAGACAAGCCATCGAAGAATGGATACGAAAAAATGGTACAAGTCCTATTACGAACCAACAGATATCACTAGAGCACTTAGTTCCAAATTATGCAATAAAAAAAATGGTCGATCATTTTGAAAGTTCATTGCATAACAAAAATTTCCAATATACTCTTGATGTGGACGTAAAAAAGAAAAAAGGTCGACCGTTATTTCAAACATTTGGAAAAACTATCTATTCTGCAGAATGGTTACCAAGCAATGCTGGCTGTCCGGAGATAATATTGTTAAAAATTGATGGTGCACGCGCCAATAAAGAAGCTTCGTTCTATGTTAATCTTAGTCGTCATCCACATATTGTTCGAACATTTGGTCTGGTACATGAAGACGATGGTGACAAAAATTCTATAATATTGTTGCAAGAATATGCATCTGAAGGAAGTCTTTATGAACTTCTGACCGAGCGAAAAAAACCAATTGACGAAAAAATTTTGATTGAGATATTTTGTCAAGTCCTTGATGCAATGAGTTATTTAGCATTAAATGATGTGGTCCATGGTGATTTAGCTTGTCGTAATGTACTTGTGTTTCGTTTTGACGAAAACGATCCAAGAAACAATGTAGTCAAAGTAGCAGATTTTGGACTTAGTCGTTATAGTAAAATTTATAGTCAAACAACAACTATGGCAAGGACAACATTAAACATTATTCCCAAACGGTATTGTGCACCAGAAATACTTTCAACAAATGTAACAGCAAATGATTATACAGAAAAATCGGATGTATATTCCATGGGTGTATTAATGTGGGAAGCATATTCTCGAGGTGCTATACCTTGGACTAATATCGAAAGTGATGATGATGTCGTTCGACGAGTTAGAAATGGGGATATACTACCTAAACCAACAAATTGTAGTCCACAGTATTGGGATATCATTACTAAAACATGGAATAAATTATCTAATCAACGACCAACATTTGATCAACTAAAAAAGCTGTTCAAAGATCAATTATATCAAACTACAACGTCGGCATCTAAACCAAGTATGTTTTAATTACAACTTTTCATTAACAAGAAAGCTACCAAAATTGTAACACGCCGTTTGCGCTCATATTGATCCCAGAAGGAAGCCTGAGTAAGACAAGAAAAGTTTTAAAAGATTCATGCCCATGAACCTTTGGTGCCAAGTTATAACCGTTTTGCAGAATTTTTGACCTGCAATTTTACCCATCGATAGATCTAACGAATCGTGAAATATCCTTGAAGTTTCAGCCAAAAAAAAGACGTTTCTTTGTCGAGATATTGACATTGCTTGTGACAGACACGCTATAAAAATCGAGTTTAGATGGAAGTTCAATTTCTCAGCAAAAGAACATTTTTTTGCGCTGAAACTTTCAGGATATGCCAGATGTCATTAGATCTATTTATGGATTGAATTTCAGATCGAAATTTCATCATTTGATTTTTCAGTAAATAGGTAAAGTCATATCGAAAATTTTAATAAAAAAACCATAAATCGGCTTCTGAGGTCCATGAGCACAAACCCTTTTAGAATTTTTCTAATCCTACAGAAACCTCTTCGAAGGTCCAATGCGAGATCAAAAGAGTCATTACAACTGGGAAAGTTTCGTTGTAAGCAAAATAAGAGGACAATATTTAAATTAAACCATCAATTCTAACAAGGCATCACAACATATCTTCTTGTGAGTCAACTGGTGAAGCTATAGTTTCTTTTTTAGATATGTCATCATCCAAACCATCAGCTCATAATGTGCCACTGTATTATCAGAGCAGTTCTCTCAATGCGTCTTATAGAAACATTCATTGGAAATGTTGCCTTGAAAGTTCTTCGCAATGTTATAACATGTTTGTAGGGTCAATTAAATATCTGAATTGAGTTGTGGTAAGCAGAAGAAGTATTCAAAAATGAAGTCGTAGTATTTTTGAACCTCTCTGAAAATGTTCCTCTTGTCTTGTTGAATCTGTGTTGTTATTGATTCTCGAAATAATCTGAAGACCATTTTCAGCACATGAACACATGAATCCTTTTTCGCTGTTCGTTATTATGTGTTAGTCAAGATGATTCTTTATAATCTCACAACAATCAAAACGTCACGGATTTGTTAAATAATGAAAAAATTAATAATCAACTGTTTATAAGAAAACTTGATTAGTTTTTAATCCATTTTTCTCCATTCAATCATAAAAATTATCTTTTTTTCCGATGAACTCTTCAAATTGAACGAATTTTATAACGAAGAGACATATAGTTGAATAATATTCTTAGTCAGATATCGATAATTGTTGTCAAATGAGAACAAGAAATAGATTATCTATTAAATCAGAGTACTAATTTACTCCATAAGTGGCAATATAAGTGTTTCATTTACAAAGTAGTACTGAAAGTTATGTAGAATATATACAATGATATAAATATGAGGAGTAGGTGAGTGTTAAAACGAACCCTCGCACCACCTTTATTCTAGCGCTTACATTTTCTTTGTAAATAGAATTGCCATCCTATTATAATCCTCAAAATAGTGGTAGTAACGATAACTCAATGAACCCACAATATGATCAGAATCGTTCTCGGATTGACGATGATAGACGTAGTAATTATTATTCCTGTTTTGATTTTATCATTGCATATACTGATATCTTTGTACAGGTACTTCTAATAGTTTCAAAAGTCAACCAATAACTGGCGCCAACATGAACGCTGATGAAATGCTGGGCAAAATTGTACAATTTGGCAAAGACTCATATACCATCAAAGCTTATCTTCAATGCGAAGAAGAAGGGTTATTTGCACTGGAATGTGAAAGACCCATGATAGGCTTTGATGGTAGATGTCCAAAATGTGGTAGACAACATGTCCCACTAGACAAAACACGTGGTTTTTATGCTTCGGTAAATTCTGTCTACAATTCGCTTGGACAACAAAAATTAGAAAANAATATCGTTTATGTGAAATATGTCATCGATTAAATACAATGAAAAGACGACAACATTATCCAGATGTTAAAGCATTTTTTACTCAACAATGTTAAAAAAAACAGATTTATCATGTTTTTTATTTCATGAATATCAACAAATCTTAATGAATAATGAAAATATTTGTTGTAATTTATGTTTAAGGTTTTTCAATATAATAATGATATGATGTTTCTATTGAGATACTTGTTGTAATTTATTTACTGGTAAACTCAAGTCAACACTCATGCTTTTATGCTATTGTTTGTTTGTTTCATTTTTACAATCTTTGACTAATTGTTGCTTCCAAAACGTTAATGATTTCGTGACTTTAAAACACAAATGGCCACCAATAATAATAGAATATTATTCAATTATAATTAACTTATCAATGGATTTTAGATTACAGGAGAACAAACATAGACTATTGTGTGTAATTGAATCATTTCGATCAGTTTTCTGATGATAGATATTTATACCGATATAATTTTCTGTGTAAAATTTTTCTTTTTATTCGACATTGCTGAAGATACTTCTACAACGATACTTATTGATTGTTTTGATCAAACTCTCTGGTATGAGTAATGAACTTTTGATAATATGCAGAGAAGTATTAGAAACGATTTCTATAATGATAACTCAACTAAATTTTTTCAAACTTCGTTTACTTTGAAAATTATAAATATGACATGGTTTTGAAAGGAATTCTTATTCTCAAGTTTCGTTTAATAATGATGAAAAGTAGTTGACTTTATCCAGACAACAATTCAACAATTAAAAAAACACAATTTTAATATTTTAGTTTCAATAAAATCTTTATAGATGTACAAATTATATAATAACGAATGCTCTGTAGCGAATGCTTTTGCTCTTATTAACAATAATCTCAAACTTGAAATATATATTCGTTAAATAAAAAGAGTAGCTGTATTTTTCTGCGATACGAATATTACACAAGGTTTGCTTGGATATTTATCTTTATCAGAGATCCGCAAAGTCAATAAAAATCGTTTCGCCTCATCTCTCTTAGAACCTAGCATAAAAACAGATGTTTTTTTATGTATATTTTTCAATCACATGTGACAATATACTATTTCTTTTATTTCATGAGATCCAATAAAGTACATTTAATATATATATATAACAGGTTCGCACAACAAAATACAAAAATTTATAATAAGATTGAAATGAATAACCACTATTTACTTTTCTGACTGAACATATAAGCAATGCGTTATTTATTTTTTGTGAATTCAATCAAGTGTGTGCGTTGGAATCGAATAAAGTAATCAGGCAAGTTTCGATATGACAGGATCAATGAATCTTAGGGAGACGATATAAAACTTGCTTGAATTCAAGTCAAATTACCACAAAAACTTGTCTATAAAAATTTAAGACTTTGGTTGTCATATATCTTGATTTAAAAATAATAGAATATTCATCTAATTGATTTGTTAAAAAATGTATCATGTATTAAAAAGTTCAACTATCTCCCTCCCCCTGCCCCCCCCCCCTCCTTTACTCTGATCATTTAATTATAAACAGTGACATCTTTATTATCTATTCGGCGACATCGAAATATTACCAATCAGATAGAATCTTTAAAACCATTCTTAAAAAATTAACAATTCTATTTTTTTTTCATTTGTATAATACGTCATTCGATAATATGTCGTCTTTCAATCAAATTCAGACAGCTTGTGGTGCACTTGGTTATTTCGATGGTAAAACTTACTTAAAAGATGATGATTGTGAAGGTTTGTCACAAGAAAAAAAGATTTTATTTTAAAGACTTTAACTGACTTTATATTTAGATGCATTACGTATTCTACTTCGTTGTCTTAGATATGAAAATGAACGAAAAGATGCACGGTTACAAATGCTCGAATCAAAAATAATAGAAAATGATCTTATACCTATTCTTATTCATTTGAATAGTAAACATGATGCAAAAATTATTCATCATGCTCTCAAGTAAATAAAACTAAGTCCTTCCTTTAAAAAAAAACGTCAATTTTTATTCAAAAACATCGAAATTCAAATAAATGCACAGAACGATAACTCGATATCAGATCTTTCATAAATGTCATGATTTTTTATGTGGTACCTCATTTTTTCTCATAAGTTTTGATAACTTCTGTCATCATCTACTTGAGAAAAATATAGTGCCATCAGAAAAAGTAGAATATGTTTTTCTGTCTTTTTTCTCTGCTTATCATCCTAGAATTCTTGAAAGAGCCTGTGCAACTGCAGAGGTATTGAGCTTGTCATCATTTTTTCTTGCATAAAAAGTAAGAATTTCATGGGTATTCAACCGCACAAAAAATCGAAGTTCTCAAAAGATTTTCTCATCTGTAGAGCTAGTTGCACTGTTCATTTTGGTAAAAACAATATTGAAATTTATTCAATAAATCATGGTGTTAGACTAAAAATAATCAAAAGCTTAGGTAATTCCTGACTGCTTCTGGATGACAGTTGACATTTTTGAGTATTTTGATTCTGGCATCATGATTTATTCAGTAAATTTGAATGCTTTTTTTTGTCAATATTATTAGTTCAACGAACTCTACAAAATGCTACAGGCGAAAGTATTTTTTCAGAAATTTGTATGTTTTGTGGTTAACTATTTATGAAAGTATCCACATGATATAAGACTGGAAATTTCATGCGATTTGAATACATCTATCTGAAGATCGATTTTTAAGAGGAAAGGTTACATTCGAAATATTATTTATTTAGATTACTCGTTAATTTAACAAAACCTCCATTGGTATGTTTCGATGGAAAATTACCAAAAGATGTAACATTAACAAATGTTTATTTAAAAATTGAATCTCATTTACAAAAAACAAAAACTGTTTGTATTAAAATAAAAATTTATTATTTGTATAATTTTTAAATATATTTATTTTCTTTTTTTTTTTTGAAGAATTTAGCAAATGAAAAACTCTTTGATTTTCTTGTTGATAAAGTTCAACCCGTACTTGATATAGTTTAGTTGATTTATTTTTTTGCGAAATTTTAAATAATTATATAATTGATTTTTATTTATTATTTATTATTCAGAATTGGCTTGATCGATCAGATGAAGATGATTTCATTTTACATGCAGTTTTTACACTTGTACGAAATATTCTTTCAATAAAATCTGAAAGACAAATATCAGAAGAAAGTGATATTAATGCCCATGATCTTGTTCTATGGTAAGAAAGAAAAGCAATATATTAAATTGTTAATTTTATTTTTTAATTTAAATATTTAAAGGTCAATTCATAAGAGTAATATGGAAAATTTAATATTATTTTGTGGTAATAAGGCTCAAGGAGATGAACGTATTATGAATATTCTTGAAATTGTTGTTTTAATGTTACGAGAACAAGTATGTAAAAACAATTTTCTTTGCTATTTAATTACAGATATTTGTGTTTTGTTTCATATAGTCTGCACAAGTATTGGCTTATACAGGTGAACAACAAGCAAAAAAACAACGAGAAAAGAATAATGAGTAAGTTATAATAGATTTTTAACTATTACAATTATGTAAATAATTTCTTGGAAATATATAGTGATGCGTCACTACGAAATCTCGATATGAATTCAAATGATTTTAGGATTTTTAAATAAAACACTATGTAGTATCTATAAGGATACTAAAAATCATTGAAATCGGAAGAGAACATTCTGCGGAAGTTTCTTTATCAGTCAAATTTTTGTAAGTTAAAAATAAATGTTTTTAAGCTTGAATTCCTTAGAAATTTAAAACTTCTATTAAAATATATGTTTAATAAAAATATGAAAATTGTAGTTGAGTATGCAATGAGTATAGTCCTCTTACCAGTTAATTAACTTGATTCTTATCAACATACACAACTTGAAATTACTACTAATCAAAATATAATATTGTTATTATTGATTCGTATGAATTTCTTATAAAACCATTACTATTGTTTTTAACTATGTTTCATTTATTCAATGAAAAAATGATCGAATTATGTATTCATTGAACTTATGAAAATTGATTTCTCTTTTTAGAACACTCGATTTGCTTTATGAACGTGAACAAGCTGAAAAACAACAATTAAACAAATTAACTGCAAGGCAAGAAAAAAAAACTCATGTACTTGTAATTGTTATTCAATTTTTTTATATTTTAATAATAGTCGATCAACGTTTGGCGGCGCTACATATATTATGTGTAATGCAAAAGGTATTGGAGAAAATCAACTTATTTGTCATCGACCACTACAAAGTCTTAATGCAATGGAATTTGATCGAGAAAAACGTCGTTTTCGTCGACCAAAAAATCGTGCACCTGTTAAAAATGATTTAGATGATTCTCAATATCATCATTCAGCATTAGGCATTCGATTATTTCTTCGAGAATTTTGTTTAGCATTCCTAGATAATTGTTATAATATACTTATGCCTCGTGCAAGGGTACTTGTTTTTTTTTCTGACTTTTATTTATATATACACAGTTGTTTTCTAAAATTGTTCGACCTGATTTATTATCAACTTCTTTTTTCTATTAATGTTAATAAGGATTCAGATAGTGATTTATATAGAAAATTTTATTTTCAACAAGAACTCAAGTCAATCATTACAGATCACCGTAAATCATTGTAACGTTACTTTAAACGGCTGTATACCCGCCATATCTTTCGGTCAGAGAAATTTTAAAGATCAAAATGATTGCTAGTTTTTGAAGGATAGGATTCAGTTTTCTACGACTTTTTTTGACCGAGATACATCAATCTTACGGAAGGCATAAAAATCGTTTTTCTCTTCTATTTCGTATAGAAACATCATTTTTGTGTCATTCGTAAGATTGATGTATCTCTGTCGAAAACGTTATCTAAAGCTGAAAGACGTTTTATTTTGTAGAGAATAGTTTTTTTTTTCTATCGTTTTGAATAATTCAAACAGAATTGCAGTAAATGAAAGATTTTGATTTCAAGTTTTTATAAGACCCTATTCCTGTAAAACCAGCAATCACTTTCATCTTTGAAAATTCTCTATACAAATCACTATTTTGATTGTTATTAGCCTCGTGAGAAAAATTTAATATAAATATGGTTGAATACTTTTGGAAATCACTGTATATATGTATAATTTCTTAATGAATTTTTTTAATCTTAGGATATGATTATTAAATCTACATGTTTACTTAGTGATGAAACAAATTTTTTTTGGGCAATAAGATTTTTTACAGAATTTAATCGACATGCACATACATCAATTGATCGAATAAGGTTTTGTTTCATAATATTTCATAGACAAAAATAAATATTTTTTATTTAGTGAAACATTACAAATGAATACATTTCATTTACTTCATACAAAAAATGATCATTATAGAGAAATGATTAAAATTGATAAACCTGAAGCAAAACTTTGGGCAAAACGGTAGAAAATGTCCACTTTTTAGTTGTTTCGAAAGAAAAATAAATCTTTTTTTTTTTGTAATTAAGATTACAAATAGGCTTTGGTGCTTTTAAAGAATATATTCTTTGTGTTAAATCAATGTTAACAAATCCTAATGAAGTTATTGTTCGTGCTGCAACGATTATCAAAAGTAAATAAATGTCTTGACTAATATAAAAATTCATCTTCTTCGTTTTATTTTTCAAAGATAATATTTTCTATATGCAAGAATATCGTGAACAAATTTATATTTTACTTAAAGATTATGATAATACGAAAATGAGCAGGTAGAGAAAAAAAAAGAAAATCTCGCCTTTTTGAGACTATTAAATTTTATTTAATAGTGTTTATCTTCATGATCTTATTGAAAGTACTCATGAATTTCTTAAAATGCTTGAAGAACATACATCAAAAATAAAGCATGTTTTTGTTCAACGTCGTCGTACAGCTCGCAAATCAGCCACAAAGAAAAATACAAAGAAAAAAAAGAATGAAAATGATGGTACGTAAAGTATTAAGATAAAATGTAATAAAAAATATTACTTTATTTTTTGAGAAACAAATGAACCACCAAATGAACAATTAGAAGAAGAATGGCAAAATCAAATATCTGAACGATTATCATGTTTATTACAAGGTTTAGAAGAAGTTACTGTTAATAAATCAGATGTGTGTCCATTTGATGCACTTTCTGAAGTTCCTATTGATGATCAAAGGTTTGAAAAGGATCTTTTTCATAGACTTTTAATTTTTAAATATTTAGTATTACGGCTGTTGCTCGAATTCAACATGCATTACGAACAAATAAATTAGATGAAGCTATTGCATTATTTCGTGCTTCTCGGTAGAAATTGATTGATTAAATTATAGAATGATATTTATGTTTTCCATTTTTTTTTTTTCTCTAGAGAAGTTTGGCCAACAGAAAAAACATTTGGTCATGAAGATATTGGAGCTGAAGAAGAATTTAATTTACTTCGAGAAATTTATATGACATCAAAAATGGATAGTAATGAAATATTATTATTTCATTTTATATATATTTATTTTTAAATATTTATTTTTTAGATTTATTACCAAAAACTAGTGATGAAGATGATGAAAATAATGAAGAAGAACACGAAGAAGGACATGATGAAGGTATGAAATGAGTATATCTCGAAATTTTTTCTCATTTATCTGTAAGACTAAAATCGGTATGTTCTTTGTTCACATGGTCCAATGTAGACAGTCATTCAAAGATAAGAATTAAAGTAGGATTTAATCCATGATCTTTTACTGATGATGAAACCGATCAGAAGACTAAAAACATTAATGATTACGAGCGAACTTCTTCAGATACTTCCCTTTCGATTTCAATAATATTTTTACCTATACATACTACATAGTGTTCTAATAAAAACCCTAGAATGATTTAGATTCTGATCGAAATTTAACTAAGTTATCAAATTTTAATCTGAAACTTTGCGCATATAGAAATCTTAAATAAACTAGTTTCCATACAAAAACTCAGCAGTTTTGAACAAAGTCTCTTCCTGATATGAAACTGTCAAAAAATATATATTATATATTCACTATCCATCGAAAGAGTCTATATCGTGAAAGTCTCATATCTCGAAGAGACTGTTCACAACTTCTAAATTTTTTCTGAAAGCTAGTCTAGTTAAGTTTTTTATATGCGCAAAGTTTTGTGTTTTGATACACTACAAAGCATCCATTAATATTCTTTTTTTTTTGTCATAAAAAGATACCGCTGTGATTTCAAATAACATAAAAAAATCAATTTTATATTTAACGAAAGCTTATTCAAAAATATTATATATCAACACAACTGGTAATCTTTAGAATGAGAAAGTTTTTCAAAATTCAAAGAATATTTTTTGACATTTTCTCTTTTAACTTTGCTTACAAAAATTACTGTAAGAATTCACAGCAATTTGATCTACATAACCAGGAATGGTAATCATTTATACAAATAGAAAGAATAGATTCATAAGATGTCATGTTCGATAGACAAAATAGAGTGAAAAGAAAGAATTCAGATAATTGGAAAAATGAAATAAAGATGAAAAGAATAAAAAATAAGAGAGACGAGAGCAACAAACAAAATTTGGCGCATTTCACATAGATAAAAGTTCAAGGTATCGAAAAAGCAATGATCGATGTCTTATCAGCATATGTTTCATTCGTTACCTTCGAAAGAAAGAAATGTTGAAATTAATCATGTTTTCTCTTATTAAATAAATTGCAATACAATAGATTGTTGTAGAAAAAAAGTGAGCCATTTAAGAGTAATTTTTCAATTCATTCTACGTAATCTTGTAATGATACCTCATTTGCTATTTGAAGAAGATCTGTTGTTCGAGCAGAAGTAACAGCGATGAATCAATATCTATATGTTTCGAAAATTTATCATGAGTACTTCTTTGTAGATTTTTGGATAGAAAGGAATATAATCACAATATACAAGCAAAATAAGGAAAACTGTAGACCAAAAACAAACCATCTTCGCAAGGTATCTTTTAAGAGAATATTATTTGTCCAAGGAAAAGCTTAAAATGATTGTATTCTTTAAGTATATCTAGTTTTCAATCCTTCACATACACATCAACTACTGAAATTTGTATCTGTGAATAAAAGATCTGCATTACCAGTATTAAAAAATTGTCACATTGTTTCCAAGTTCTTGGAGTATTTTACTATTTAATAAAGATTGTCAACAAATATGTGACTGGAATGAGCAGATATAGACTCAAACTAGTGTTCTGTAACAAACCAGCATAAGGGTGATAACAGTGTAGAATAATTGTCCTCAAGAATGACATAAGCATGACGATCATTTAACCATGAAATGATTAGTTTGAATCATCCTAAGGATATGTCAATGCTAACGAGCTTACCAACAAGGCCTTGATGTCACATTTTATCGTGTGTCTGTTGGTAATCAAAATATACTGCTAATGTTTGAATATTAGACGCTCTGTTGTTTTATCATTTGTTAGATAGATAGAATTCTAATGTGACGTAGACAACTTGGGCGAAAACTGAACTTTTCAACTAGGACTATCATGTTAATTTCTGCCCAAGATAATATTCGCTCTCTTGTCTTTTTTGTAAACATCACTAACTTATTCATGAATCCGAGATATTCAGTTTGGACTTGAATATTATCAAGATCTGACATATCAGTGTTTTGTGCTTTGTACTGTTGCAAGTAGTATTAGTAGAAGTTATCATTAATTTCGTTCTCTTTCACTTTTAAAGTCACAAGTGATCACTACTGATCAGTGATGATTAATGGCAACTTTGAGAATCTTTCTTTTTGCTCGTTCTACATTTGTAAATGTTAAAGTGATGCTTCTGTTCGAACGTTTTGAAGAATATGATGATGTTGGAATGTAACAAATATTAATGTTTTTTTTTCTATCCATTTTTCCAAGCTTCTATCTCTTTTATCTGATAATATAAAACCTTATTCGTTGATAGTTGCATTGAAATTATCAGTAATGATCTTACTTTCAATGATCTACGGGTCTAATTCGTCTAAACTTATGATCTCACTCGCTGAGCAGTAAATAACAATTATTTTAATTGTTTCAGAGAGTCCACTAGCATCGACAATAATTCTGTTTTCAACAATAAAAAAGCATATTCTCGATCCTTTCAGATGTTCTTCTATTGTTGTATGTACACCTTCATACTTCTTTGTTCCATGCTAATGGATGATATTGAAATGAGGTATTCGAGATATGTTTCAAGTTCACTAATTTCAGTAAAAACACAAATAGAAGCATCGACTTTATAAACAATGTCAATTATCTCTAAACTTCGAAAACTCTATCGTTGAATATTGTAATAGAGAAGATTCAAAGGGATGTCAATTGTTTTCGATGATTGATTAATACTCATCATTGATTAAATAAAATCACTAACTAGCGTTTCAAGTATAGTCAGTAGTTTTATTAATGTTTCTTGTTGTCGTTCCATATCGAAATTTGTTTAATTGACAGTTATCATTGATGCGATCTAATTTTTCGTCCATAAGTTGAATATTCTCTTTCCTATCTAAAATATTCTAATTTATCAACAACAACATTTTTGCTGTGTTTTTGCTTTCATTCGTATTAGTGAATGCTGATAGTTGTGATGGAGCGTCAGTCATCATGAAGCAACATAAGGTATTAGCGACGATAATAAGCGAAATTCGTTTTGCTTCATCTGAAATTGCACGATCTTGAGTTACTAATCGTTCTAGTTGTGTTGTAAATTAGATCGATATACAACTATTTTTTTCACATACACAAAATAACGAGTAACGATGACTATCATGTTGAGCACAAAGATATGTGCTCGAATAAGCATATATTCGACCATCAATAATATTATAAAAGACGAATACGATAATGAGGACGCTTTACATTATGTTTATTTTTCATATGACCTAAATACTATCAACTTAATTTTAATGATGTACTTTATTCACGAAGATTTTTAATAGTAAATCAAAAGTCATTCGTCCTTCATAAGAAAAAGTATTTAATATACGGTAAAAGCAAAAGAATTGAGAATAAATTTTAATTTCTTTCCTGTTGTCTTGATACGTTGGCGTTTTGGGGACCACTGTTTATCAGAAGAAATGTTGTGCATGACTATTGTTTATTTATTTCTAATTTTAATTTATTACGCTGTCGCCGAAGATAGCTTGTTGTTTGAAATAATTTTTGATGGTGCTACCTGCTAATGTATCTGATGGTTAGTTTTTCTAAGTAAACCGCTGGGTCATATTCAATTAAAGAGTATAATGTATTGTTTGAAACAGCACAGTTCAATTTTTGAATTAAACGAGGACAATCTTATTGCTCTGCTAATTATGGTTGTTGATTATTGTTCAGTAAATTTGCGAAGTTTGGAGTCATGGATAAGTTCGTTAAGTTAGTGATTTTTCGTTTTTCAATAGATAATGCATCTTGTTGTTCTAATATATGTGTTTTATCATTCTCACTAAAATCTAAGTTTTGGTTTTGCTAGAAGTCTGGATACCTGAAATAGAACATTAATATGTTGATAAGCATCAAATGTGAAGCTAAAATTTTAATGAGCGCACGTGATCATGTCTTTTAAATTGTACATTTCTGTTGTCTGGATATTTCCATCGATTCTCTGTTAATTGTTATATGTCATAGCTGTAATTAATAAGTTATTTGGCTGCAAATTTAACGACGAATGTTTTTTTTAGAGCGATAATAATTGTTGATTCTCCTCATACAAGTAAGAGAAGAAGGATGCTGTCAAGATAAGAGTGCAAGCAAAAGGTCATGTGTCTGTTCTCGAGAAAGAAAAGGATAAAAATGGGTTTGGTACTTTCAGTAGTAGTCAATCATAGATAAATAAGGTTATCAGAAATGTCTTTTTTTATCTATTGCACTTTGTAATAGTTTCTTTGTTGATTATTTTGGTAAAAAAAGTCTATTAAATTTAACAGAAAAATAACGATATTGAGAATTTAATACTGAAAAATCTCAAATATGTCTAGATCTATGACATTTTCGATTGTTCCTACAATGTCTGATAGAGGAAAAATTTTTCTGATAAAATTATAATTTTAGCAGTTGATTATCTATGTAGGTAATTAAACTATATGCTGAAAATTTTATAATGGATTTCATGGGTTACCTATTGCACTCATAAATTTCACTTTTCACAAGCTTTTATTTACTATAGAATTAATTATTGATGATTTTTTTAAAATTAAAGTAATCTTACTTTGGAAAATTAATGTTTTCATAATCTGTGCGTTTTTCAAAATGAATATATATTTCTAGATGAACAAGAACCAATACATACAATTGAACGTGAAGAAGAATTTGACTTTAAAAGATTTATAATACGGTAAGTAAAAATTAAACAACAAAAGCTTACACTTTCCGATAGACTACTATTACTAGCTAGTAGAATACTCAAAGGATTGATACGATTCCATATAGATATAAACAATAAGCTTCTATCAATATTACTTTCATATCCATAGACAAAAAAAAAAGTTGCAACTTGATCTACAATAAATAGTAACCATAGACTTGATAAAATTCTTATCTAATTTGTTTATCTTTATATAAATATGATAGTATTTGAAAGTACATTATATGTAACTTAGATTATCTTTATAATGGATATGAACTTGAAAAATGACTAACTCTTTATTTTAGTTTCGCACATTCAAGTATACTTTCATCATATATTGATGTTCTTCGTACATATACAAGCAATACACCATATTTAAATCACTGTATAATTCGTATGTTTTATCGTGTATCAGTTGATTGTAATCATCCTGGTATACTTTTTCAAATGTCATTATTTCGTATGTTTCAAAAATTTCATCTTGATCCATTAGCAAAATCACAACAATTTTCTGTATAATTTATTTCTATGTCGAATAAATTTTTTTTTTTTTCTAAATATTTTATTTTATAGGAATTATTACAATTTGGTACTTGGTTATTACGTAAATTTTTTATAGCAACACAAAAGAATCCATATATATATGCTGAATTACTTTTTTGGAAAGATCGAAGTCTTGTTGAAGATATGCTTGATGGATATCGTCAAACTACTCGTACGAATGAAGGAGAAAAGTAAAGAATTATTGTACTCTTGTTTTTTTTTTTGAATATTTATTAATTTTTTTCTTATATAGGAAAACGAAAGCAGCTTCATGGTCAGTTGAACATCAAATTGAATTACGAGATTTGTTTAGAAAAATTAAAGAAGAACAAGCAGAAAATATTGGTTTGTAGAAAGAAATATTTTTTTTTTGCCTTTTTTGTATTTTACTTGTTTGATAAATCATAGGACTTGAACAAACTGATATTGTTGATCGAATTATGTCGGAATTAACGGATAAAACAAAGACACGCCGTCAAATAATAAAAGAATTAAAAAATCAAGATTTAATTAAAAATATTAAAGAACTTAAACTGTATGATTAATTTTTTCTTTTTTGTCAATTCTTTATAATTATTATGTTGGTGTTTTTTTTTTTATTAGTAAAAGAAGAAATCGTCGATCAAAGAAAAATGATTTTCTTGATAATTCAAAACTTCTTGGTTCTGATTCAGATGTTCCAGATACGGATGATGATGATGATGACAATAATCGTTCTATTGAAAATAAATCAATTTCATCTGAACATGAACAAGATAAAACAAATGATTCAAATTCAACATCTGATAATATTATATCAACAGAAATTTCTTCTAAAAACATTGAAAAAGAAGTAGTAGTAGAAGAAGAAGAAGAAGAATCATTACCTATTCTAACAAAACACAGTCGTAAATATGAATCTTCATCAATGTTCAATGATAATGATAACGATGATGATGATGATGATGATGATATATCTTCATCGCGACCAATAAAAAAAGCACGTCGTCAGTTGGCGTCTTCAAGTGAAGACGATGATTAGTTTATTTTTCTGTACTTATTTTTTTCTCCTTTCTTGTGTATGAAAATAAAACAATATCAATTATTACATCTACTTTTGTTTTGATACACTTTTATAGAAATTATTCTCTATAATTAGTGAGATGATAACAAAAAATGTAAATAGTGTCTGTTATGTGTGAAAAAATACGACCTATAGATACTTTCTCGTTTATCTGTTTTCTATATTAATTAAGTTATGTGAATATTACAGAGAAATATAAGAATAATCATGATATTTATCATATAATATCAAAGGCTTCTTATATTTTCTTTTCGTGTTTTCGATGTATGTAATAATAATTATACATATGTTGTCCGATAAATAGAGAGAGAAAAGAAAAAACACAAATCGATCAGAATAAATATAGAACAGACTAATCAGATAAGAGTCAGATGTCTGCTTTACTTGTCTCATACACCTGCTCGAAAAATAGAAATTTACCATTATTAATATGTACAAAGTTTTCAATTTCGCATTACAACAATCCCATGTATGCGTTGAAAGATAGAGCATTACGAAAGAACAATAATGATGCTAGTAGCATCATTCTTAACCGCAATTCTCCTTCTTCTCTTTGTATATTAGAATCAACGTGATAATCATGCTCTCTTACTGTACTATTACTGGTAGTTATATACTGGTGGCTTGTTGTGGGAGGAAGAATGAGAGAGCTGCGTGGTGTACAGCAGGGAAGACAATATGTATATATATATAGTAAAGAAATGTAGTATCTTCTCTTCTCTTCTTTCTCTATACTTCATATGTTTGATTATAAATGCGTATACACGAGAAGAAAAGGAATTTCTTACTATGACTACAGACTACTGATATTTTATCTGCCCATGTTATTGTTGTTTTCTTTGTCTAAGCTATTCACGTATATGCCGTTTTCTTCCTTTACGGTTTATTCTGTTCATTGCAGGTCGCCTCTCTAGTATGTTTCCTAGCGGTTGATGAGTGATCGTTAATATAGAGAAAAAAAAAGAATTTCTGGTTCGTTCTAGTAATATCGTGTAAGGAACATAGATACATCTATATAAGATGGTGTTTCTTTTTTTTTATCTTGTTGTAGTTTTATTCGTACAAAGAGAGAAGGAAAAACGACCTCTGTTACTTTTTGTTCCTTGAAGCTTGTCCTCCACTTTTGACATATATTCTGCCTACGCTAAAGCTATTTCCATATTCAAGACATTGAGTATATCTTGTATACATACGCCTACATAGAAGTTCATATAACCTCGTGCGTATTAAACTACTCTTTTGTTTTTTTTTCTTATTAAGTGTCACTAGCAAAGCATTGACTCACCTGAAAAAAATTCGAAGAAAGAAAAGGACACGAACAATTACAATACAAAGACGATCTTGTGTTGTAAGTATAAGAATGTGAATATTATAAATTCTGTCTTTCTCTCTCTCTCTCTCTTTCTTTTAAGACGAAAAGGTTAAAAAGTATACTTCAATTTGAAGTGGAATAATCTTTGTTAGACTAGCATATACTTAACAGTAGTATAGTTCGAAAGTAAAAGATGGAGAGAAGGACAGATAATGTAATCTTTGTTAATTTAAAAAAGAAAAAAAAACACCACAAAGAAAAACTTTCATCTATGTGAATTCATTATGCATCTGTATTAGATCAATTATCAATTGATAAATGCTAGTTTTATTATACATATTGCCATTAAACAACTATCTTTCCATGGTGAGAATAGTGCTTCATTGAACTTTTCAATGTTCGCCTTTTGTCCTTTGTTTTGTTTCTTTTCTTTGTCGACATACGAATGATTACTGATACCACTCATCGAGTGGTCAGCACAATGCCATGTCTAAAGTCAAGAGAAGGAAAAGGAGAAGATCATCGATATGCTATCGGGCGATGAAATGTCGCTCATTATATATATATTTACATATATATATAGAGATATATAGTAAGGAAACCTACACACTTGTGTATATTATTCACAAGTTGTGCTAGTAGGAAAAGGGTAGACCGAATAAGTAAATGGTTCAATTTAGTTGTTTGTCGTCTTATAAAAAATAATAATCATGACATACTGAGGATGACTAAATTCGCCCACATATTTCTCCTCCTTTTTTTTTTGAAGTCACCTTTGTGATTAAGAAAGAAAAAGATGTGTGAATAAGTGTTTAATGTGAAATAGGCAGAAGAAAATACGTTGATTCGTTCTTTTATTCTATTATTAATAAGCCTTATGAGTGTAAGAATAATTTAAAAGTTTGACAGTTCATTTGATTGAATATATATATATATAGAAGTTATTTTCAGATGCATCGCACACAATGTTAATGGTAGAAATAACTACATTTTATTCTTCTCTATAGAGTTGTTAACATTTAGTCATCAGTATGTATGTCTGTTATAGTTTAATCTAGTTATTGTTCGATTCAATTGCTATCTAATGTGTCTATTAACAACGAGACTTCGTTTTTTTTTCGGAGGTGGTTTCTATTAAATTGATTTCATTGATTGTGTTACTATAGTTATTCGCATAGAATAAAAAAAGAATTTCTCTTTGTTTAATAATGATATAAAAAATAAAGAGATAGAATGAATTTTGTTTTTCACTGATCATCTTTTGATAAATAATGTCAGTAATATAAAAATCATATTGGCATTTTTCTCTTAAGATAAACTAATGTTTTTGTCTGTATTTTAAGTCATTTTGCTTTGTTTTTTATCAAAATATTTCATCGCGTGCACACATTTAATACAGGTGCCTCTCTTTTCTTTTTTATTTCTTCACTCTTTTGTGTATGTTAACTGTTTCATGAATAGAGGTTGGCGTTGGAGATTTTATTCTGTTCTTTTCTTTCATATTCACATAAGCACATACATACATACATACATATATAAAATATATATATACGAATGAGAGACATACCGAAACCAATTTTTTGAAAAAAAAATTTCATGTGTTCTGTTTTTTTTCTTTCTCATCCACTAGGTGAATCATATATCTACGATTCGAAAACGTATAACCATCTAAACTACTACCTACAGGTCGTCGTTAAAGAAGAAGAAGAATAAGAAAGGAAAAAAAAAAAAAACTTTTGAACAGAAAGAAAAAAGAAAAAATGTCAACTGTATACAACCAGTCAGCAAACGGCTATTCAGGTGGAGGAGGAGGAGGCGGACCTGGCTACACTGAAAATCTTCAATACAACGAACAAAGTGAACATTTAGACGAAGACGAATTTGGACGTACCGAAGAAGGTAAATAAAGATACGAGAATACAAAAAGAAAAAAAGAAATGAAAACTTCTTCATCTTATCTTAAGTTCGGTATTTTTTCTTCTACTCTTGAATAATTTTCTTTTTAAAGAATTTTATGAAGATATGCAGCGAGAATTAGCTGATGATGCACCATGGAAAAGAATACAACAAAATACATTTACACGTTGGGCTAATGAACATTTAAAATTAGTTAATCGTCATATTGAAGATCTACAATCAGAATTAAGTGATGGTTTAAATTTAATTGCTTTAATTGAAGTTTTATCACAAAAAAAAGTTCCACGACATAATAAAAAACCAAATTTTCGCTCACAAAAATTAGAAAATGTATCTGTTGTATTAGACTTTCTTGAAAATACCGAACGTATACGTCTTGTTAATATTGGTAAGTAAGTTTATTTTACCTATTAGATATATATATACATACATAAATGCATGTGAGTGTAGTGAAGAGATTTCTTGAGAGTACAGAAATGTACTTAAGACAAGTGCGTTAAGATTTTCGTCATTTTTTTTTTCAAAACTTTGTTATATTTTTGTTTTATGATATTAAATAAGAATTTTTTTACTTAGTTAATCATTCTTTATCAACATTGTCTAATTCGTTATCGAATATATAAGAAAACAAAAGGTTTCATATTTCATTGAAGAAATAAAATCGAACAAAAAAAAAAAAGAAGAAAGAAACGATACAACTGTTATGTGTATTAAGAATCGATGAAGCAATGAGCTGGAAAGAATAAAGATTTTTTTTTCTTTTATTCATTTAATAAGGATGAATTAAGAATATATATTAACAGATAAAAGAATAAACGAAAGTTTGTTTTTAATTGAACATCACTGCAATAAAAGTGTACATTACAATTAATTTATCGAATTTCATAAAATAGGCTTTTTTTGTTTTAAATATCGAATTATATTCCCTAATATTTACTATAGATATGAATGATTTGTTTAAGATTCGATTGACGTATCCTGAAGGCCTCTATGACCATGAACTAAACGTCGAAGTGAACCTTGATATCGATTTCTTTTTGTTTCGGGCTCAATAAATGCCTAAAGATACGTCAACTAAATCTATTCAAGACATTAATTTATGCTATAAGTGTTATAGAATAAAGTTTACAATTTAATAATATATCTCAAAAAATAAGAAGAAGAAAAAAACAACATGTCGTTCATTCGAATATAGATTTCTTTTTTACTCATAAATTGTATATTATTGTCAAGATAAGAATTACAGACAAATTATTCTATTAAAAATTCTTTATTCATATTTTGTTTAATTTTCAAAAAGTATACATATATATGTATAAATATTTAAAAAAATTTAGATGCTACACATATTGTTGATGGTAAATTAAAATTAATTCTTGGTTTAATATGGACACTAATTTTACATTATTCAATATCATTACCAATGTGGGAATTCGAACAAAACGGTGGACCTGGTTCAGGAAAAGATGCTACACCAAAACAAAAACTTATGAGTTGGATTCAAGAAAAATTACCACCAGAATTACCAATTACAAATTTTACATCTGATTGGAATGATGGTCGTGCTATTGGTGCACTTGTTGATGCATGTGCGCCAGGTATATAAATGGAAATATTATAATTATCTTAAAAGAAAAAATACATTTCTGTCGATTGCTTTGTTTCTTTTTTTAATTAGGACTTTATCCGGATTGGAATGATCGTGATCCGAAGAATGCATTGGAAAATGCTAAAGAAGCTATGGATTTAGCTGAACATTGGTTAGGTGTACCACAATTAATTCAACCACACGAAATGATTAATCCAAAAGTTGATGAACAATCTATGATGACATATTTATCACAATATCCAAGTGCGAAATTGAAACCAGGCGCACCTATTAGACCAAAGACAAATTCAGCACGAGTTCGATGCTATGGAAAAGGTTTGTACTTTAAATGATTATATCTTTAAGAATAAAGATAGAAAAAAAAATGGAACCATCTGATGCCTCTTTTTTTGTCTCCGTTTCTCTCTCTCTCTTGTTGGATGAATTAATATATGCCTTTTATTCTTCATTCGCGGTCACCTCTTTTATAACATACAGTCTAAATGATAAATTCATCTGAAAAAGTTGGAAATACAGAATCGTATTCATTTAAACGTCATGTAAAAAAAACAAATAATATTATTGAAGAGCAATGGATTAAACGAATACATTATTACTATTACCGTCCTCGTTTGTTTGACTATACTTGACTTGAAATCTATCTGTATTTTTATTTTCATTAGGTATTGAACCAAATGGTAATCATGTTGACACACCAGCTAAATTTCATGTTGAAACATTTGCTGCTGGCAAAGGTAATGTTGATGTTATTATTATTAATCCAAAAGGACAACGAGAAAAAGTAAAGAAAACAAAAAGAAAAAGTAATATTTTTATTCGTTTTACTATACAAATATTTTAGTGTGATGTGGATTTTCGTAATGATAAAAATCAAACATATGATTGCACATATTATCCAACAATGGAAGGACAATATAAAGTAAATTAAGAAATTATAAATAAAAGAAATGTATAGGATTTATTTTATAGATTATTGTAAAATTTGCTGGACAAGAAGTACCAAAATCACCATTTTCACCTTATGTCGAAGGAAAAGCAGGTGATGCAAGTAAATGTCGAGCACATGGACCTGGCCTTGAATCAAATGATGTCATGGTTGATAAACCAACATGGTTTGAAATCGATGCAGCAGGTTCATTATAAGTTTATTCCTTTTTTTTTTTACAACCCTATCTTTCAATATAAAATAGATGCTGGTAATGGTCTTGCTGAAGTACTACTTGTTGATCCACGTAGTCGACAAGATGTTGTACCTGTAGCAGTTAAACAAACTAGTCCTGGAAAATTTCGTTGTGAATATGTACCACGTGAACCTGGTCTTCATTCAGTAAATATATTCTTTGGTGGTCGACCTATACCAAATAGTCCATATGGTGTTAATGTTTCATCATGTATGTAGAAGTTTTTAAAAATAATTTTTCTTTTAATTGAAAAAAACAACATATACATAAACGACTTATGTAATAGCATCAATTTCATCATACGATGATTTAAGAGATAGATTAACAACAAGTGAGGATGATTATTATTCATCAATTGAATTAGAACGATCAAAGAGTACAACTAGTGTTGACACAATATATGCTCTAAGATATAAAAATGGTTTGTCTTATGATAATTTTTATTTCTTCGTAGATGGGAGGGATTAGTAATTATTTTTTCTTTTTGCTTAAAATGGTGATGGATAGTAGTAGTATTTGAATTTTCTAGAAGAATATATTAACATTCTGTTGAGATTTTTTGTTTGTTTTTTTGTAGCATCTGACGCCAAAAAATGCCGTGTTTATGGACGAGGTATTCAACCAAAAGGTGTTCGTACTGGTGATGTTGCTGAATTTCGTGTTGTTACAAAAGATGCTGGAGAAGGTATTATGAAAGCAACAGTAACTGGACCAGGTAAAAATTCTTTTTTGTTTTTTTATAGAATTTTTTTCTTGAAAATTTTGTTTTTTTGTTCTAGATGATTCAGAAATTCCTTGTCGTGTAACAAAAGCAAATAGTACAACATATGAATGTGGTTATGTACCAAATCGTACAGGACATTATACAGTTAATATAACATATGGTGGTGCTCATGTACCTAAAAGTCCATTTCCAGTCGATGTTGGACCATATAAAGATTCTCGAATACGAGCATTTGGACCAGGTCTTGAAGGTGGTATTATTGGTTTTCCAGCTGATTTTGTTGTTGAAACAAATGGTGAAACTGGTTCATTGGGTAGGTTATAAAAATACATTTCTTTTTCTTTTCCGTAATTAAATTTTATTATTCGAAAATAATCAATTAGGTGATATAAGTAAGTATCTTTTTGATGTGTATCCCTTTAGTAAAATGCATGGATTGGATTTTTGGTTTTCTTTTTGTTTTTTTCTATTCATATATATTTGAAATTTCATTTTTTGTTTGTTTATTTTTTTCTCAAAGGCTTTTCAATCGAAGGACCATCACAAGCACGTATTGAATGTAATGATAATGGTGATGGTTCAGCTAATGTTCGTTATTGGCCAACAATACAAGGTGAATATGCTGTGCATATTCTTTGTAATGATGAAGATATACCACATTCACCATTTATGGCATGGATTGAAGCACCAGGAAATTTTGATTCAACTAAAGTAAAATAATAAATATTTGGTTTTTAATTCTTTTTTAATAAGAATATTTATGTTTTGTTCTTTAGGTTAAAGCTTATGGTCCAGGACTTGAACCATCAGGACAAATTATTGATAAACCAACAGAATTTACAATTGATACACATAATGCTGGTGAAGCAGCATTACGTGTTCAAGCTATTGATCAAGATTATCAGCCAGTTGATATTCATGTCAAAAATAATGGTAACGGTACATATACTTGTCGTTATACACCAAGAAATCCTAATCGTCATTGTATTTTAATTGATTATGGTGGTGTTGCTATACCACATAGTCCATTTCGAGTAATATTCTTTTCTTTTTTGTAAAAAGAAATTCAATTAAAATTAAAATTAAAATTAAAATTTCAGGTTTGGCCAACAGAACCATCAAATCCATCAAAAGTTCGTGTTTATGGTTCTGGTGTTGAACGTGGTGTTAAAATGAATACGTTAACACAATTTACTGTTGATTGTAAAGAAGCAGGACCAGGTAAAAAATTTTAATATATATGTTGTTTTTCTTTTTTGTTATGATTGCTATGTCTTTTCACTTTATACTAACATTTCATTCACTTATAATAATGCATGATTAATTAACTTTATTTGCATGTTAGTGATTTCTACTAATCTCAATCATCGTTTTCGTTCACTTGATTCGCTCGATATTGATAAATGTGACAATGATATCATACCATACAAAATTGATATACAAGATTTAAATAATGAACAACCTTGTTCATTTGCTATACAAAATGATGATAAAAATAATGCAATACATGTTACCTATAGACCACAAGCACGTGTAACACTTGTGAATGTTGCTGTTGTTTGGTAGATGCTTTTTGTGCCTTGTTGTTTTTTAAACTTGCTTAGCTTGCATGCTCAATTTACTAATAAAATATTTAGATTAGATTTTTAAAATCAATAGCAAAAAAAAAAAGAAATAAAATAAAATGAATTGATTTATTCATTTCAGGTGATATATCAATTGCATTGACTGATACAAAAAATCAAGATGTTCCATTTACTATTGATGACAATCAAGATGGAACATTTACTATAACTTATACACCAAAATTACCTGGTGTACATTGTATAAGTGTTCTATTTGGCGATAATGAAATACCTATATCACCAATTAAAGTTAATATTGAACCAAGTGTTGATGTAAATAAAATACGTGTTGAAGGTCTTGAAACAAGTAAGTTTAACTTTTATAAATCAATGTTATTTAAAAGTAGAAAATACTAAAACAAAACAAAAAGAAAGACTTTCTTTTGTCTTCTTCTTTGTATGTGTGTTAGTTTCTAAGCATAAGTTCTTTCTTCTGTCTTTTTTTTTTGTCTACACACATGCACATTCTCTATGTCTCTCATACATCGTAGTGCCTATTGTTGGACAACCTGCTCAGGTTACATTAAATACATTGTCAGCTGGTCCATTACCAGCTAATGCAATTCATGCTCGTATTGTTGGACCAAAAGGTAATACACAAGAAGCAATCGTAACACCAGCAGCACAAGGTTATAATCTTCGTTTTAATGTACCTGAACCAGGTATATATATAATCGAACCGGATGTATGTACATTACCATTACATCCAGTACAAATCACAGCTATTGAGCCACTTGATCCGAGTAAAGTACGTGCCTATGGACCAGGTCTTTCACAAGGCACAGTTAATAAACCAGCTGACTTTATTGTTGATACACGTGGTGCTGGTAATGGTCAATTAGCTGTTACAGTTGAAGGACCATCAGAATCAAAAATAGATTATCAAGATAATAATGATGGTAGTTGTTGTGTAACCTATCATCCGACAGGTAGTTTTATTTTTGTGCTTTTTTTAATCGTTTTATTTTTCATCGTATTATAAAATACAGTATCTGGTAATTACAATATCAATATATTATATGAAGGAAAACATATACCAGATTCACCATTTCGTTCGGCTGTACGTGCTGATCTTGATACACGTTCTATTCGTTGTTATGGACCTGGTCTCGATTCGAATGGTGTGTAAGATTCTATGGAAACAACAACAACATATATCTATCTATATATATATATTTATCCCTATATTTAATCATTCGCATTGCATGTCTTAACTTGCCATTAAATAATATCGCTTGCATGAACTACTGCTTGTTCTCCTTTTGTTTCTAATGTTCGTTTGACGTGCTTAGGTTCGAAATAGAACATGTCTAATCTAATGAAAGGGAAAACTTTTTCTTTACACACATAAACAAACATATTCTCTTCTAGATCTTTTGAGATATTATTAATAACTAATAACTTTTATTCGAAAATTCTTGTAAGAATATAATATTTATTCGATGATAACTTATGCTTTTGGTGTATGAGGGAATGCTTTATATTGTTTTTGTTTTTTTTTTCTTTGAATTTTATTTCTAATTTTTCATTTTTTTTCAGGAGTATTTCTTGAAAGTCCAACTGACTTTACTGTTGATGCTAAATTAGTAACGGGTAGTGGTTCAGGTCGTGTTGAATGTTTATTAACATCACCAAGTGGTCGTGCTGTTCGATGTCCTGTTAAAAATATGTCCGATGGAACTTATCTTGTTCAATATGCACCTTATGAACCAGGTATAATTAATTAAAATAAACTAAAGAACTCTTTAGATATTGTGTTTCTTTTTTTGTTTCTAGGCATGCATCAATTAGAAGTGACCTATGAAAATATTCCTGTTCCTGGTAGTCCATTTCATGTAAGTGCTGTTCCAGGTTGTGATTCAACACGTGTACGTGCCTATGGACCTGGCCTTGAAAATGCAACAACAAATGAACCAACAACATTTACAATTGAAACAAAAAGTGCTGGACAAGGTAGTCTTGGTTTAGCAATTGAAGGACCATCCGAAGCTAAAATGGTTTGTAAAGATAATCAAGATGGTACTTGTATTATGGAGTATTTACCTGTAAGCGAAAGAAATCAAAACAAAAGATCCTTGAAATTTAAATTTGTATTTTTTTTTTGCTTGTTTGATTAGGCAAAAGCTGGTCAATATGATATAGCAATTAAATTTGCTGAACATCATATTCCAGGTTAGAATTCTCATTTGTTTGCATAATGAAAATTGAATGATTCGTTTTTTTCTTTTATTCGATTTCATTACCTCTTCTTCTTGTTCTTCTTCTTTTAAGGCTCACCATTCCGCGTCAATGTACGTGATCGACTTGATGCTAATCGTGTTAATGTTAAAATGAGTTCAACTATGCGTGCTAATGTTTTACAAGAAATTACAATCGATGGACAAACAGCTGGACCAGGCAGTCCATCAATTGATATTACTGATATACATGGTAAATTTTCGTTTTTTTTTCTTTACTTTTGCGGTTTTTTTTGTTTGATAAAAGAAGTACTATAATTTACCTTTCTTCAATAACAATCATTCATGTATGTGTGTATATTTATTTAAAATGCATTTATTTACGGAGAATAGAGCTATTCATAGAGAAGTATGCCTTTCTCTTTTTCTTCTTCATCGATTTCGAATCAAAAAGAAAAAGGTAATACGATGAGGACGATGAAGGAAAACAACATTGTTGTACGTATCGATGAAAAGGTAAAGATGAAGACGCAAAGAACATGTATATATGGTGGAGCCAAAAAAGACGAAGAAGGAAAGAAAGAAAGCAATAACATAGTAATGAAGGACAGACGGAACCACCATTACAATCTAATCGCGTTTCATTAACCTTTTCCTCTTCATCGTTTGCTTTTTATATTTCATATATCTTAATATATATATTGAGAAGTACGTGCATGCGTGCCGAAAAATTCTCAACCTTCATCGATTTTGTTCAATCGGAACGTCGATTAATATTCCTCTCATTCTCTCTCTTTGATAAGGTAATTCGACGTACGAGAACAACTTGAGAAGCTTAAATTCTTCGTTTTTTTTTCTATTCATCTCCTCTTTCGATTAAAATGAACAGTATCGTATAGTTTTTTTTTCTCGTTTTTATTCCTTTTCTTTTCTCATTTTCACATATGAATTTGATTTTCGATTTGTGCAATAAGTATATTTTTTTCTCCATCTCTCTCTCTCTCTCTCTCTCTCTCTCTCTCTCTCTCCTTCGCTCCTTATTCTACTTGAAAAGAGCACGCACAACTCTTTCTTTTTTTTGTATTATAGGTCGTCGTAAACCGGCTAATATTCGACCCAGAGGCGAAGGTGTTTACGTTGCAGAATTTACTCCACAAGCAGAAGGCCCACATCGTATTGATATTAATTGGAGTGATCAGCCAATACCTCAAAGGTTTTTTTCTTTTCTTAAAATAAAATAAAAGATGGATTTAGAGTTAATCGTATATTTATTTATTATTTAGTCCATTTAACATTCAAGTACTTCCTCATTTCGAACCAAATAAAGTTATTGTTGACGGACCAGGTATTCGTAACGGTATATCAGCATCACTTGAAACACATTTTCGTATTGATACACGTGACGCTGGTTTTGAACAACCCGACGTTTTAATTAAAGTAAGAAGAAAAAACATACTATTAGTTTTTCATAGAAAAAAATTAAATGAAACTTTTTAGAATCCTGAAGGTCTTTTAATTTCATCAAAAATCATTGATAATAAAGATGGAACCTATAAAATAATATATAAACCGAATGATGTTGGTCGTTATATAATTAATGTTAATTATGGTGGTATTCCGGTTCATAATTCTCCATTCAACGTGAAAGTGGAACCGACCGGCGATCCAACGAAATGCCATATTTCGGGTATGATCATAGAAGAATTTTTCTTTTGCTTTTTAAATCATATTTTTTATAATTTCAGGCACTGGCATTAATCCTAATGTTCAAGTAGGTGAAGAATATACAATAACTGTTGATACACATGATGCCGGCCCGGGCACAGTAACATGTCGTATACGTTCAACACTTGGCAATGATCTTGATATTGATATTGTTGATAATGAAGATGGAACATATAATCTATTCTATATACCACATAATCCAGGAAACTATGTTATTAAAATAAAATTTGGTGGACAAGATATTCCAGGTGGTGATTTTGTCGTAACGGTATGTTTATATAGAAAAAGAAAAGAAAATTTTACTTCACTCTCTCTCCTTTACTAACACGTATACTTTTACAATAAATTAATATCCTACTTAGACTTCTTCATCTATGGTAGGCATAGTTGTAAAAAGAAAAAAGAATAATACGATGGCTCGGAATTCGATTTTTATATTACTCTTCTTGTATTCCTTCTTCGTCTTCTTATAGGGCGCAACAGATCTCAGGGTATGCTTATATTTAAAGCTCATTATCTCACATAAGTGTCAAAATAATCAATAAATAGGTCAAGATTACAGAATAAAAATATTGATGATAGATAAAAAAAAAAAAAAGAAACGAATGAGAACTTCTATTATCATTTCTGGACATGATTTCGAGTTCAATATTGCTATTGTCATATTTCATGTGCTAATCTGATTCTTCTTCTTCTTCTTCTTGTAAATTTTCTAAATAATATTTTGTATTTATTTATTTACTTTGTTGTTTTTTATTGTATCCAAAGGCGGGTGATACTCATCAACAAATTCGAAGAAAATCAGAATCTAGTACAACAAGTCTATATCGACCTGTCGACTTTCGTTTACCTGTTGGTGGTGGTAAACTTAGTGATATTACTGGTATGAATTTTGGAAAGAATAGAGATTTTTTTTTGTTCTCTCTTTCTTTTATGTATTATGTATGTATTGATAAGAATTTTTTTAAAAGTATATGCGCTTCCGGTGCTCGTCGTTCTTCATATAAATAGTATGAAAAAAAAAAGAAATAGAGAGAGAGAGAGAAAGATCGAATAAGACTTTATTGAACGATGATGCGATGAACATTATTCACAGGTAAACAGCCGGAGAGAAAGCAATAGTTACGCATATTTGATTGAGCTTAACATACACACATATACATACATATATACATACATACATATACATATATATAAGACTTTTAGATGGATTTTCAAGGTATTAATTATTATAATATTATTGACAAAAATTTTTTTTTTCTTTTAGCATTAATACGAACACCAACAGGAAAATTTCATACCCCACTTATTGATGATAATGAAGATGGAACTGTTTCAATAAAATATCAACCATCAGAAATTGGTTTACATGAATTAGATGTATTCTATCAAGGACAACCAATAGCTGGTTCACCATTTAAATTTCATGTTGATCAAGTTCAAACAGGTTATGTGACAGCATATGGACCTGGTCTTAGTCATGGTGTTTGTAATGAATCATGTAACTTTCGTATTATAACTAAAGATGCTGGCTCAGGTGGTCTATCGGTTGCTGTTGAAGGAAGTTCGAAAGCTGAAATTCAATGTAAAGATAATAAAGATGGTACATGTGATGTTACTTATTGGCCGGTAAGTTAAAACTCTAAACAATTTTGACAATATTGAACTCGTTGTTCTTTTTTTCTTTAAGACTGCACCAGGTGAATATACAATAACTGTTAAATTTGCTGATAAACATATTGTTGGTTCACCATTTACTGCTAAAATAACTGGTGTACCATTATCAGCTGACAATCGTAAACGTTCACAAGTTATGGTTGGAAATCAAAGTGAAATAAGTTTACGTGTAACTGAAATCGATATACATGATTTAACTGCAACAATACGTTCACCAAGTGGTGTAGAAGATGTATGTTTATTAAAAAAATTAGCTAATGGAAGTCTTGGAATATCATTTATACCAAAAGAAATTGGTGATCATTTAGTTAATGTTTATCGTGATGGTAAACATATTAAAAATAGTCCATTTCGTATACATGTTGGTTCATCTGAAATTGGTGATGCCAATAAAGTTAAAGTATTTGGACGAGGCTTAAAAGAAGGTAAATAAAAAGAAAAGCCATGTTAAAAATATCTTTTGAATAAAATTAATCCATCTAGGTTATGCTAATCAAATTAATGATTTTACTGTTGTTACACGTGATGCTGGTTAGTTGAAATGAAATTAATGAAAAAAAGAAAAACAAGTTTTTAATTTTTTTTATTAGGTTATGGTGGTTTATCATTATCAATTGAAGGACCATCAAAAGCTGATATTGAATGCCATGATAATGAAGATGGTTCATGTCTTGTTACATATAGACCAACTGAACCTGGTATTTATATTGTTAATGTTAAATTTGCTGATAAACACGTACCTGGTTAGTTAAACAACAAAGAAAACGAAAAGATTTTCTATATTAAATTATGTTCGTTTTTTTTTTGCTTTTGTGTAGGTAGCCCATTTACAGTTAGTGTTGGTGGTCATGGATCAAGTCGACTTCGTGAAAGTATTATACGCGAACGTCGTGCTGCTGATATAACACATATTGGTAGTCAATGTGAATTATCTCTTAAAATTCCTGGTATGAAAAAAGAATATTTAATTGAATAATAAATAAAAAAACGAATTTGTTAACACTTAGGTACATCATCGTTTGATATGAGTGCTTATGTTACAAGTCCAACAGGACGTTTAGAAAATTGTGAAATTGTGTAAGTATTTTCATAATTGATATGATGCAAAGAGTTGAAGATAGAAATTTCGTTTTTTTTTCTTATTTTAGTGAACTTGATGATTGTAATTATTCAATTAAATTTATTCCAAAAGAAATGGGTGTTCATACTGTTAGTGTTAAACATAAAGATATGCATATACCTGGTAGTCCATTTGGTAAAATCAAAAATATTATTTATTGATATATATATATGTATAATCGATAAATTATTTTATTTAGAATTTACTGTTGGCCCAATACTAGGTGGTGGTGCTCATAAAGTTCGTGCTAGTGGTAGTGGCCTTATACGTGGTGAAGTTAATTCAACAAGTAAGAATTGAAAAACAAAATTTTCTGAAACACGATCTCAAATTTGCACTCCCCACCTCCATAGATCGTAGCAGATGTTAGTCAGAGACTATCACAGACGTTGGTGATATACGATCTATGATCGTATATCAATAACGGCTCGTTACAATAAATGAATTACTTCATTATTGTATATTTGAAGGATGAGGTAAAGAGAAAGTGACGAGATGTGTCTGAAGAGTCTTTCTGTGATTAGTAATAGCGGCTACGTCGTGTTTCACATTTTAATCTCACAAACATTGTGCTAACAAGTTTTTTTTAAATACATTTTAGATGAATTTAATATTTATACACGTGAAGCAGGTGCTGGTGGTCTAGCTATTGCTGTTGAAGGTCCAGCTAAAGCTGAAATTGACTTTTTTGATCGTAAAGATGGTTCATGTGGCGTAGCTTATGTATGTCCCGAAGCAGGTGACTATCAAATTTCAATTAAATTTAATGATGAACATATTCCCGATTCACCATTTAATGTTTCAATTGTACCACCATTTGGTGATGCAAGAAAACTTACAATACATAGTCTTAAAACAAAAGGTCTTGACGTTAATCGACAATATACATTTACTGTTAATGTTAATGGTGCACGTGGTCATGTTGATGCTCGTATAATAGCACCAAGTGGAGTGGAAGAATCATGTACTGTACAAGATATGGGTGATGATCACTACGCTATTCGATTTGTACCTAAAGAAAATGGTATTCATTGGATACATGTTCGTTTTAATGGACGTGATATACCTGATTCACCATTTCGTATTGTTGTTGGTCAAGCTAATGCTGATCCAGGTCGAGTATTTGCTTCTGGTTCTGGTTTACATCAAGGAGAAACTGGTAATGATAAAGAAAATCATTCTTTTTGTTGTAGTTTGAATTAACAAAAACTTTTTCGTTTTTTATTTGAAGGTCAAGCATGTGAATTTTTAATTGATACAACAAATGCGGGTGCTGGTGCATTAGCTGTTACGGTTGATGGACCATCAAAAGTTCAACTTGATTGTAGAGAAGTAATCGAAGGTAGATTTATTTCGATATTACTCTCTGATTTATTTTGTAGAATTATTTAAATATTTAAATTTTTCTAGGTTATCGTGTTACATTTACACCAACGGCACCAGGAGATTATCTTATTTCAATTAAATTTGCTGGAATTAATATTGCTGGTAGTCCATTTAAATGTATAGTTGGAGGTAATATCATTGATTATGTTGATTTTATGAAATATGATCTAGCAGTTACACATTACGTTTAACATTTTAGTCCTGTAGAGATTGTACTAACAATGTATTTTTTTTTGTTAACTAAAATTTAGGAGTTGGATATCCAACAAATCGTGGAAGTGGTGTATCAACAATGACAACATCATCATCATATCTACAACGTTCAGACGGAAAACTAACAAGTCATTCAAGATATGATGCTATTGAAAAATCCACGTCATTTTCATCGAGTTCAAGAAATAATAATTATGCTATTGTCGATGCAAGTCGAGTACGAGCACATGGTGATGGTTTAGTACGAGCTTATAGAAATGAAAAAGCAACATTTACTGTTGATACACGTGATAGTGGTAAGTTAAAAATTTGATTAAATAAATTTATTATTATATGCTTAAATCTTCTTTTTGTTTTCGTTTAAAAAGGAAATGCTATGTTAATGGTAGGTGTATTTGGTCCAAAATATCCATGTGAAGAAGTATTTATAAAACATATTGGAAATAATCAATATAATGTTCAATATGTAAGAATATTTTTGATCGTTTGCTCTTCTTTTATTTTTGTTTTCTTGTTTTCAACAAAAATTTATTACTCTATTTTTCTTTTTGTTTTTTTTTAGACTGTACGAGAGAAAGGTGAATATATGTTGATTGTTAAATGGGGTGATCAACATATTCCAGGCTCTCCATGGCATATTGAAGTTGTTTAAATCAAAATACGAACTATATCCCCTGAGAAAGAGAGCATCGAACAATCTTCTCTTATTTATATGCATATATACTAGAGAATTTCTTTTTTTTTTATTTTTCCTTCTTCTCTTTTTTTTTCTTTGTTTTGAATTATCGTTCAACTAAGTAGTTTTGTTATATTCTCTCTGTATGTATGCACATGCTCAAACTACTTGTGTTTTTATCATTATTATTATTACTATTACTACTACTATTATTATTATTATTAGTCAAGGTGCTATGATGTGTGAAATGAGTTAGAGAAGAAAATATAAATCAGCAGTGGTCTCGTTTCTACATCTATGTATTTGTTTGGTTTACCTCGTATCCGTTTCTTCTTTTTCTTCATAGCTGCTTGTACGTTTCATTTTTTTTTTCTGTTTTGACTTTAAAGAAGAGAAAACTGCCTTCATCTTAATATATATACATATACATATATTCATATAGGTAAATATGATGTTGAAATCTTGTTTATTATGAACTTCTCTTTGTTCTTTTTTGTGTTTTGTCTTCATAGTTTTGGATAAATAAAAAACTGCTTCTTCGTGTTTTCGATTTGCTTTGTTTCTTTTTCATGATCGTTTTCTTTTTTTTCTTATGTATTTTTTTTTTCTATTAAAAAAAGATTTTTATGAACATGCTGAAAAAAGATTTGCAAGGTTCTTGTTTTTTTTGTTAATGAACAAAGCAATAAGACTACTAGTTCCTTGTGTATTCGGTCAATATTCTGATTGATTAGGATGTTACCATTTCCTTCTAAAAAATATCTTTATAATCATTGAACTTAATTATGTCTGAGTTTGCAGACACTTTTACTTTATTGACAACTTCGACATTGAATCAATATAGAAGCAAAATTCAGCATTAAAGAAAGAAAAAAAAATGAAGAGAATAAATGATAAGATTTTTATATCGTGAAAAATCTACAAGCGCAATAGAGTGTATGAGCAAATTCATGTGTAGCTATCTCATCCGTTATTTCCGGCGAGAACTATTGAAGAAAATTGGATTCCATCCTTTCTCTTTCCTTCTTTTTCCTTTCTTATCTGGCCTTGTTTTTCTACCAAAATATGATGCCTAGATGTCTAGATTATTTTCTTTTTGCTCATTTTCTTCTTCAACTAACAGAATATAAAATCATACATCGAGTAAATTTTGCTTCTCATTACTGTAACAAACATGCATTCATCATTATTTCGAAAACATCTTCATGAAAGATACTTTTCATTACCATCAAATTTAGAACAAACAACTTCATCATGTCCATCAACACCTCCTATGTCAGCCACATGGCTCGAGCCTCCACAAATCGATTTATGTCTAATGAATAATGAGCATCGTAAACCAGTTTTTGATCTTGTTATTGATACATTTTTCCGTGATGAACCATTAAATAAATGTTTAGCATTCGAAATACCTCATGAACCAAATGAATTTACTGAGCTTATTGTTTCACTTGCATTACCAGATCAATGTTCATTTGTTGCTATTGATGTTCAAACACAAAAAATTATTGGTGTTATATTAAATATAATAAAACATAATTTATCATCAACAAAAACCGATCATCAAGATAAATTTGATATAAATAATTTTCAATCGGAAAAATTACGTTATATATTAAATGTTCTTAAACATGTTCATCGTAACATTGATTTATTTAAGGAATTAAATACAGATCGTCTTTTACATACAGTTATTGTTGCTATTGATGCACATTATCGTGGTTTACGATTAACTGAAAAATTAATTCATGCAAGTATAGCACGTGCAAAAAATGATTTAAATTTAAAAGGTGCATTTTCAGAAGCAACAAGTCTTTATTCATCAAAAGCATTTATTAAACAAGGTTATCAAATATATGATGAAATTATTTATACAAAATATGATGATATACGTTTAGCTAGTCTAGCTGGAGAACATGATCGATGTCAATTACTTGCCAAAACATTATAAAAAAAAAGCAAACAAACAAACAGTATTTTTCATTTTCTCTTTGCCTTTTTGTAAATAAATATATTGATGTTGTATATATTAATAAAAGAATAGAAGAAAAAAAAACATACTTTTTTCCTATGTACTCTATATTATTGTTATATGTACTATTTGCATGTTCGTATCGATATACGTATGGCAAGAAAAAAAGATGATGGTCTCGGTTCAACGATTTGCTTGATTACAACGTGATAACTACATATATATATATACATATGTACATATACAATACAAAATTAGAAATAGTGTTTACAGAATAGTTATTAATATGGCATCTACTATTGTTGTTGATTCAACAATGAATGATATTAATCATAATAATAATAATAATGAAACAACTGATAATTCATCATTACCATCACCAATTAGATCTGAAATGAAACTAACAAAAATAGATGAATCACCGACATTAAAAAATCGTCTACATAATGTATCGTCGTCATCGAATAACAATGAACTAATAACTGTTGTAGCTGTACCAATGAAAACATCGCGTCAGTTTAGTATACAAGGTGGTGGAATATTAAATGCAGGTACAGTTAATTATCTTCGTTTTCAACGTGCACGTCGTCTAGCTTTTTGGTGTTGTGTTATATCATTTTTACTTGATATTGGTCTTGGTTTAACAGCATTTATTAATTGTATACGATCAAAAACTTTCGTTGGTTTTTCATATTCTGTTGATACATTAATGGATTCATTATGTACAGGTTTTGTATCATGGCATTTACAGACAACATCAATTAGTGATATGCATCGTCGTGATAGACTTGCTTGTTGTGTTATTGGTGCCTTATTTATTGGTTCATTTCTTGCTATTGAATCTCGTGCTATACAAAGTATGATATTAGCAAGAACTGTTCGACCTGATATAGTTGTTTTTATGTATTCATTAATACATATTATTGTATTTACCATTTTATCAATCATAAAAATTTTTATTAGTAAACAAATAAAATCTGCAGCATTAATGGCTGATGCATTAAATTCTATAATTGGTCTTATTATGTCATTTCCACTTTTATTTTGGGATCGCGTTACATTTTTAAATAGATTTGCACATCTTGATGATCTTATACAAGTTTTAATGGCATTATTTTTATTTATTGCTGGATGGAAATTAATTTTAGATTCCATAACAACAATGAATGCTGAATATGCAAGAAATTTACGTGAAGAAAAATTACGACGAATGTTAAAAGAACATCATGAAGAAACTGATGTAGATTTTGAAAATGTTGATACAGATAATCCTCATTTATCTATAGCACCGATTCCAGGTTCACGACGTTTTTCTATTATATCAAATCATTAATGGCAATGGAAGCAAAGAATTTTTAGCAATCAAATTTCTTTTTCTCTAATGAAAAAATTTAGGATAAATTTAAAGTAGAATTTTCGAACGTTAATTTATATAGTACATTACTTTGCTCTGAGATCACCTCGATCTTAACGGAACATAAGACTTGCATTGAAAAAAAAAATCACTTTAGTAAAAACAAAAACAAAAAGAAACAGTCAAGGAGGAAGTAATAAATATGAGAAGATGAAAGGCATATTAGAAAATCGCACCACTAGAAACTTTTAGATTATTCTTCAAAACATAGAAATTTTCTTTTATCTAGAGATACAACAGATTCCTTGACGTCATACATAACCATTCATCTCGTAGCTAATCCCAATACATCAAAATGTGGAACAAAAAACGTTTTGACCTTTGTAGACAATTGATAATTAAATCACCTTTTTGTCATTGAAACCTGTGAACGTTCTAACCACACTTATTCTAGTAGAAGATGCCTATTAGGTGAATCAGAAAAATGATTTCAATAATTCCAGTACAATACTCGTTTATGGCATGTGTAATAAAATATATGAGTTCCGATTATTGGTAATTGGTGAACAGTGAATACAAACCGAATAACTACGTAGAAAAAGGGAAGCACAAATGTTGAAAATAGAAGCTGTCGTAAAGTTGTTGATGAAGTACCACCAAATGGTACTAAATTGACACTGGTCTCATTTGTTGGCTTATTAGAAGATGAGTTCGTTTGACGATGCTCTCCGCTTCTAAATTGCTTGTTATTCAATATCCTAGATATTTAAATGATAACATCCGTTCGATTGTGTGACTTTCATATCGTTATTTTCTATCTCCTATTTCTAATTAGATATCCGGCTAAATTAAAAAATTTGAAACAAAATAAAAGAAAATGACTTTTGCAATAGTAAAGTTTCATATTTTTTCATAAATAAGAGTATGTTCTAAAAATTTCTTTATATCATACAAATAAAAAATGTATTTGAAAAATCAGAATTTGATTAAACATGACTTAAGATATTAATATGAATATTGATTGGAAGATCTTTTTGCACTAGAATTAATGATATTATTGAGTGCATGCATATAGATTCAATCTACATAAAGAGATTTGATCTCTAGGGATGAAAATATTCATCATTATATACAAACAAAATCAAGTCTTTTTAAGTTCGTATTTAATAATCAGAAAACTAGACACCGAATTCTTATGAAGAAAGATTCCCAATTGTTGAACCTCGATCGTGCTCATAGTATATGCATATGTAGTACTTGATGAGACTAATAAAAATTCGAAGAAAAATGGATTCGTGTTCATGTCTTTTTCTTTTAAATTTATACACTTTTAACTGAATTGTTTACCTTACATAAACCAGCTAGTTAAATATCGTAAGAGACAGATTTTACCTGAAATTTTACTTATAAATAAGTCTTATCGTTATTACATTGTTATGGAAGTTTCTCTTCAAGAGCATGATTCCTTCTCGAGATATTAAATTATCAAAAGAGTCAATGTTCTGACTTTAATTTCATGTTAAAACCTGTGTCTTACGATATTTGATCAGCAAGCTTGAATGAGGTAAAAAACTTAATTTAAACGATTATAAATCCAAAAGAACAAGGTATAGATACGAGTCTCTTGTTTTTTTTTGACTTCCACTTATCCCATCAAGCACTGTACTATGAAGACACTACGAATTTGATCGACATCCGAACAATTAGGGACCTTTCCTCGTTAAACAACAGCCATAGAAATTCGTTAATAATTCTTTAAAAAACTTTAAGTTTCTACTAGTCACTATTCTTGGAATTATATGCAAACAATTTTCCAAAAAACAAAAAACAAATATTTATCTTATTAAATGATTGAATTTTAATGTTTAAAGAAATATATTTTCTTTTTGTTTTCACAGAAAGTAAGTTAATATAAACCAGAGAAGAGAAAAAGAAGATACAACTAATAGACAACAGCAAAAAAACATAAATAAATATAGATCATAAATCAAGCATGTCATCTAATCGTTTATCTATATTACAAAAATGTTTAATAATTTTGCGAAAAATTTCTCGTTGATCTTGATTTAATTGTGTAAATACAGATGTATTATTATCAGTTGTTTTTGATGAATCTTGTTTAATACCACGATAAAAAAGTTCAAGAAAAAGTTCGTCAACAAGTGTATATGATGTTGTTGCTAAATCTTCACTAGTTGATCGATCAAAATCAACTTTTGTTATTGATTGAAATTCTGTTTCATCATCCCAATCAACATTTGTTAATGAATTTTGACTTTTTAATAAACTGTCATCATCACCTAATTAAAAGGAAAAAAACAGGAATTTGATTATTTTTTTTTCCTAAATTAAGAAAAAGAGATTTACTTGACAAAATATTTCATGAAATCAATAAAAAAAAAAAAAAAAAAAGAAAGTTTCTATCACAATGAGACTATCTTGATTTATATAACACTTTTCATGATTTTTGAATGTATCATCTCCAAGATTTGAACTTCTTGAAATATTTCTTTCCTACAATATCTATAGAAGAACGGTTATGTTTTGAAATCTCGTGTTTCGGTGATGCTACGTCTAAAAGAATTTAAAATGTATTGTATAAGATAGTTTTAGTTTGATTGAGTTATTTATTTAGACAAACTTTCAGATTAAAATTCAAAACCTATTATTTTGCTGGAAAATTTTAGTAAAACGTCTCAATCTCGGTATAATTGGAACATAGATTCATTTCTTCATAGATCAATTTAGTATACAGAATTACTTTTCCGCAAAATATCGTATAAAAAACTTTGAAACATTTTGTGTGGTTTCCTCATAAGGTGATGAAATATTAAATTAGGGCATCAGAAACGATAACAATATATTTTCGAGGAATTTTTTTCGTAAGATAAACATTCTATGTAAAACATTCGATGAAAGTTCAACTTATACATAAAATAATTCGTATTCGTGACAGATTTCGATGATTCTATAATCATTAGTAAAAAGAAGCGAAATGAATCGAACATTAAAACAAGAAATAATGTTTTAAAAATGGATTCAGATTTCGCACGCTAACTCTTAACATTCGTTTGTCGAACAACTATCCTTTGGCGCGAAAGCCTTCACACATTTTTCGACCATCTAAAAGACACTAGATTAGAGACTGAATCAGAATTTTTCAAATATATGTTCAGAATTTGTCTCTAGAGTAAAATTGATTAAGTATCAGTCAATTTTGTGCAAAAGTTAAAAATGGTGTCTGTAGGAAGCAAAAATAATGGTTTTGGCGCAGTCCTTAGTTTGTGCCTTGAAAAAGCTTCAATTTAACATAACTGAATTCCGTACAACATGAGATATTATAATAAAAATAAATATCATCAATGCGTTTTCACGAAATATATAATTTCTATAGAAATCGGCATTGATAAACAAAACTTTTGTGTTAAAAATATAAAGTTTTTACAATCTATCATACAAAAGTAAATAGTACGCTATGTAGAACAACTTTTCTCTCTAGAAAACTAAACCATTCAAAAAACTGTTTTACATTTTGAATTTGATAAGTTTTAATAGATTATACGAAATTAACCCAAATAGTATTCTGTACAATCTCATGATAGTTGTTCAATCTTATTCAAGAATAATATTTGAAAAGAAGAAAAATATTTGATTCTAACAAATTACTTCTGCCTGTAATCAATTGATTTTAAATGATCGAATAATGAGTAGATTTACTTTCAAATACTAATTTTCTTAATATTTACATACTTAATATTAATTATAGAAATTATTTTAAATCTTTTCAAATATACAAAAACAAATAATTCAATATCTATCGTAATTATAAAATTTTTCTCAAACCTGTTTTTCCATTTGTATCAAAATCATCGACATCTTTTCGTTTATTTGATGAATGAGATTGTGTTCTTGATCTTTGTCTACGTTGCATATGTTTTTGATGTTCACGTCTTTGTCTATCTTTATAACATGTATGTCCAATAATAATAAAATATTCTAATAATTGTTTATTAATTATATTTAAACCATGTTTATAAAGAAAAAAATTACATATTGATATACATGATAATAATAAAACACTGCGTATTTGTACAATATCATCATGTACTAAACGATTAAGAATATTTTCAATAAGTTTCATTATTGTTTGACAATGTTCATTTAACATATCAATAAAATGTTCATGTGTTGTATAAATTTGTAAACAATTAAATAAATTTTCTAATATATTTGTTGTTGTTATTGTTTCATTTTCAATTAATGCACTTATAGCTGTTGTTATTGATGTTAAAAATAAATAAAATACTTCTGTTTGTTCATTATTATCAAATAAATTACATTCATCTAATAAAACACGTAATAAAAAACTACATTGTTCAAGTAATTCTTTATTATAACATGATTGCAATATAAAACATAATGGTTCATACGTTAATTGTATATGTTCTAACATTAATGAACGTGTATCTTGTCGTACAATTAATGTATATATTAAACGAAATAATTGTACAAGTGTTGGACAATCTGAATAATCATCACTTGTCAATATTGATAATATTGTTGATAGAAGATTTGTATGTTGTATTATACATAAAGCAACACTTATTGTTTGATTATCTTGCACAATATTACGTTTACAACAAGCCATATTTGATAATATTCCAAGTACAATTTCAGTACAACGTTTATCTTTACATTCAATAAGTACAACATTAAATAAATCCAGTGCATTAAATTCAATTAATAAATGTGCAACATCAGCACTCACGCTTACATCCCATAATTCACATAATTCAGATTCAAATGTTTCATCTAATTCTTGTTTTTTATGTGAATTGGTTGATACATATTCATCACCTTGTTGACGAATAGTTGAAAATATTTCATCATGAATTTGTTGTGGAGCAACATACTAAAAAAATTTAAAATTTAAACTATTAGCACAATCCTTATAGGATTAAAATTCGAAACATAATGTGGTTGCTGTTGCTAATCATAGAGAGATTGATTTATTCTATCTATTTTGGGACACATTCATTCATTATTCTTGTACGTAAGATTTCAGATATGAAATAAGTATGTACTTCGTGTATTAGAACGAGACATTATTGATATAGAGTCTTTGATCGTATATCAACAACGTCTATCACGGTCTTTTGGGCGATGCAAATTTTCATCTCTATACTTCAATATTTTTCTTGAATCGTGTTTCACCAAAAGAAAAGTTCTGTTTATTTTTGTGTAGTCGTTTACTTGAATTAGTTTAAGTAAGACTTGACAAAACCATGATTTGGAATACATTTCATCACCAACCATATCAGCTCGACTAAGATTATCAATGAGTGGTGGTGAAGGATTTCGAACAACAGTTGGTGATGATGATGATGATTGTGTTGTTGTATTTTGAGAATGAATTGAAATCTGACGATGAGATGAATGTATCGGTGGTGTTGAATCAAATTGATGTTGTTGACTAGGTGTATCATGATCACTTGTTGAACGAAATGACTTGAAGAGAAAAAAAGAATTTTTCTTGAACAACAATAAAAATAAAACATACAGAAAACGATCCAGGATCGTTATTTGGTGTTGGAACATTTTCTGTTGATGTCATCGTAAGATGTATCTAAAAGAAACAAGTCAAAAACGATTGAAGTCTTTTTCTTTTTGCGTTTTTTCTCTTTTTTTTTTTTGTTTCATCGAGTTATCTCCTGTTTATTTGTCTAAAGTTTTTTTATTGATAACCAATTCAGGATAACCACTTTCATTGCACATTTCTCTCGTAAAGGTTACGTTCTCACATTCGGCCAAAACAATTTCAACAGTAGTAAAGACAATCATTGGATTCTCAGCCAGAACATGACCACCTACAACTTGTCCAGTTCGATCAGAAAATGATCCATGTATATGCTGTCCTTCACTATCCAATGTTCCAACCAAACTAACAATTTCATGTGGTGTTGTCAAATCTATTACATCAGTTGTACTAGCCATACGTAATCGCATTGCTTTTATACTACCGACACAAGTCATAATAAATACTGATTGTAAACCATTTTGGTTCATCAATGTTCTTATAGTTGATAGAACATCCATATTAGGTTTTAACCGTAATGGATATACCCGTATTGAAGTCGGAATCAATTGTAAATTGCACGAAGATGACATGATATAGATGTATATATATATATATTAATCTCAAGTAAAAAAAAAGACATTGCAAACAAGCCAAAAACAAAAAGAAAATAATAGATTTAAAATTTCAATAATGATAGACATGTCAGCTTTGTTTTATTTCTCGTTTTTTTCTCTCTTTGATAAATCTATTTACATAAACAGCATCTGAATGATGACGAAAAAAAAAAAGAATGTTGATTTTTCTTCTATCAGTTTTGTTTTTGTGTTTTTTGTTCATTCTTTTCGTGGTTGTGTTATTTCTTTTCGTGTTGCTTCTTGTAATAGTTGTGTATCAACATCATCCGGTGGTAATTGTATATAACGTATAACAGAACCACGTACAAATGCTGATGTAACCGATTGTATATGAGGATATTTTTCTGGATCAAGTACTTGTACTTCAGTTAATTTAACATTTAAATATTGATCAACACTATGTAATGTACCAGATATTGATAAATCATTTTTTAATTCAATAACAACATCTTTGCCAACAAGGGATTTAAAAAATGAATAGAATAACATATCTGTAAAAAAGAAGAAATGCATGACACACTATGAGAATCGTTTTGTGTTTTCTTTAAATGTAAAACAAAAAAAAAAAAAGGGAAAAAAATTTTTTTTTCAGAGTTAAAAAGAAAATGTGTTGCGCTATACAAATCATTTTATTCTAAGAACGATTATGACGATTTCCTTCGCCACGTCGATTATCATCTTTAAAATCATCCATTGATCGCAAATGTTTTATCATATCTGGATCATCTTTTTCGATATAGGTTTCTTTAGCAATTTCTTCTTTTTCAGCATCACTTGCTTTTGGAAATTTAGGACCTTAAAAATAAACAAACAAAAAAAGAAAATTTAAATGAATTAAGTTTTTTTCCAATATATTAAATATACCAGCATTTATTTCTTTGACTTGTTCAGGCGTTGGTGCAAGACCACGTTGAGCAAGACTTTGATAAAATTCATCAATTGTCATTGTAGGTATACTTGGATAGCCGATACCAATAGCTTTTGATTGCAATTGATCATGTGTAATTATCATTGGTTTTAAAGGACGTGATGGTGACATACGTTGAGGTCGTTTATGAATTTCTTCATCATTTGTTGATTCAATTGATTGACGTTGAAGTAAAACTCGAAGTTCATCTATATGAGAATATGTTGAAAAACAAAAACAAGCATTTATTTATGTACGAATATTTACCATGTAAATAATCAAGATCATCCAATGCTATATTAATCCACCATTGAATTTTGCTTAAATAAAAATTACGCTTAGCCTCTTCATCAGCTAAATCATGTTTCATTGCTTCTTCAAATGCTTTCATTGATTCTTCTTCTTCACGACGTTTTAAATGGCTAGATTTATTATGAAGAAAAAAAAACATTATGTACATGCATATATATATATATATATATTAAAATTTGTTCAAATAATTAAATAGAATGTTTTAAAAATAAATTTCGAGATAATCATGTTAAACAATTAGTAGATGATGTGTTATTGTCTACTTGAAGGAAAAAACTGACGAAGACAGACTTCTAACTGATGAACCACTTTTGAGTCGCACTTGTGTACATCAGATCGATTCTAATGCGTTGTGAATACTTTAATAAGAGCTTAGGCCTTTGGATTTTTATTGGAATGACATGGCACTTTTACAATATTTCATTTAGACAATATCGTGGTCTCTCTCTCTTTCAGGAAAAACTGATTTTTGAATTTTGATTTGAAGTTTCGTGTAGCGAGAAGTCTTGACGAGGATGAGATACTGTGAAAGTTTCAAATCTATTGATGTATTCCACTCTTGAAGTAAGAACATCGAATTTATCGATGTGCAAGTATTGTAAAAGATATGTTTTTGCCATAACCGTTTCTTAGAATATGAACACCGCCAGTATTTGAAACTTTCGTAATAAGTTTTTCTCATTAAGACATGTCTTCGAAAAAAATTTTAAGTCAAAAATCAGCTTTTCCTGATGTTCCGGGCAGAGAAAATGGTATCATAGATGGAATCAGTGCCCATATGTGTTGTTCATTTTTTGCTCTTAGTATCTAATAGAGGATGTGGAATGAAACTTTTTTGAAAGTTCACTATGTTAAATATCACTATCTACAGATAGAAAAGTACTACAATTTCATTAGGTCCATGTTTGGTATGAACTTCAGACTGGTTCCATCTCTGCACAGTTTTATCCTAAAATATAACGTAAAACTTCAAAATTAATCATTTGGGGAGATATGTCTCAGAAGTCAAATATTCTACAAATAACAAGTACAATCTTCGTCATATTGTGATGTCTATTAGCAAAGACAATCGACACAATTTTCTAAGTTATAATATTACTGAAAACATGAAATTTTGCATTATATCAATCTGTAAAATATTCCAAATGTATATAAAATAAAGAAAAATCACTCTTGTATTAGTATTTCAAAATCTTGTATCCAAATTTTGAATTACCTTTAAATTACGAGAAGTTAATCTAATTATATTCTTCATATAATCAAAATAAACAATGCTCTATTATGACTCTAGACGACATATTATTTTTTTCCAAAGGAATTCAAAAATTTTCTCTTGAAACATCTTTTAATATTAAATTTGAATATATAATCACCCGCGAATTTTTGATGCGCGATCTTGTGCCATTTTCATCATATCAACATCTCGACTTGATAATTGTTCAGTATTTTCACATTCTTGATTTGTTGGTGCTTTTGGTATAGAATATTTATGTAAACCATAATTTTTCGTCATTGTTAAAAATTTTAAATAATAATCGTATGCATGTTGTACATTAATAAGACGTTGTGATGGTTTCGAACGTTTTGTTTGATATAACCAAGCAAGAAATGCATATACAAGTAAATAACGTATATTTGTTGTTGATAATTCATCAATATATTCATTATCACTAAATAATTCAAGTGATTGAAGACGTTTTTCTAATGATTCAAGTAAACGTATTGTATGAAGAAGTTTACTTGAATAATCATCTGTTGTTGTATTAGCTGATGGACTTTGTAAATCATTTTGATTTGACCATGCTATATCAAATAATTGTGATACAGTATGTGATTCATCATTCTTATTATCATTATCATTCTCATTCAATGTTAAATGTTTACGTAAATCATCATGAGATATTTCGTTTATATTTGATGATTTCGTTTGATCTGTATTCGATGATGATGCTTCATCAGAATGACAATGTGAACTACAACAATGATGATCTGCCATTAATTTAAAATCTGAAATATTAAAACAAGAATTTTTTTTTTCTGTTTTCTTTTTTTTTGCAATGGGTAACAATATTTATTTTGTTTTTTATCCAAATTTCGGTAACAACAAATAACAAAAAAGACAATCAAAAACAATTATATATTAAGTTAAATTTTTTAATGCACATTCAGTATTAAAACGTTTTAATTCATCAGAATCGAGTGTATGAAGTGCACGTGAATGTATACGAGATATAGTAACAAAACCAAGTGATTGATGTTGTTTTAAATAATCCAAATAAACAAGCCAAAGATCTTATAAAATAGAAACATAAAATTTAAAAAAAAAATCTTTTTTATTTTTGTTTTATTTTTTACCAGCTGATGTTTTACCAAAATAAATAATAGCTTGTTCAAATGCAGTTTTAATACGTTTATTATCAATATTTGATGATGATTGTTCAATTTTAATATAATCCATATAGAATGGTAATGAAGCTGGTATTCGACATGATAATCTAAATAATGAAAAGAAATTAATAATAAGAAATATTTAAAAAAGAAAACAAAAAAGAAATTTCTACTTGTCAAATAATTGTCGAACTTGTTTTATTGATTTGTTTTGATTAATCCATTGTAAATATTTAGATTTTAATTGTAATGTTACAGAAAGATCAAATGATTCCATTTGAGATTGCTAGAAAAGTTTATTATTAGAAACAATTATATACTAATCTGTGGAAGAGAATATTCACTCATTTTTCAGCTATTAAAAGACAACTGGTTAGAACCAGAAGCAGTTTATAAGGATCAAACTTTTTTGTTCTTTCTGGAGAGGAGATTTGCAACTTCGAAAGGCTAAATAGCTTTTGTTGAGAGCATAGACACATATTACAAGCACTACAAACTCCGAGAAAATCAACCAGATCGTTGGAGAGATGCCAAACCTTCGACACATACGATGAATAAAATACTCGTAAGATAGAACAACTATGATCAGACTGTTTTGAAAGATTGAAAATAGTGGTTGTAGCCAATACTGTTTTAGTTAATTTTGTATTTCGATTGAAGTTTATCAAATTCAAAATGCGAAATAGTTCGAAACAGCGTTGTTGATTTCTACAGAAAAAAGCTCTTTAGTGGAAGCATATAGATGAAATTTCGCTTATTGTAATATATCATGTAGTACAGTATTCAGCAAGAGCAAAAAATAAGGCTAATTACTTCTGGCACTAACTAGTGACCAAAAAATGAGCGAATATTTTATATTAAAGACTTTTTCACGCGACGCTCTTTTTTTTTTCTTTTACTTCAAATAATTCTTCTGTCCATTTTTGATCATGTTCTTGTGCATAGTCAATTATGGTATTCCAGATTAGAGAAGATTTCTTCAAAAAGAAAAATTTTAAGATAATACTTGAAAGTTTTTACATGAAGAATGTTTTACTTTGACATCTGAATTTTGACAAGCAAGTTTAAATTCTTTTTTTATTGTTTTACAATCAGCAGATTCTTCAATTAATAATGATAAACGTTGATTCCATAAGGAAGCATCATTTGGATAACGATCAGTCGCTTTTTGAATAATAACTTTCGCTCGATTATGATCAACTATTGATACCTAACGAAGATAAAAAAGAAAAAATAAATGACGGGAATCAAAAGAGATTTCTTGTATCTTACCCATTCTAAATAACGTTCAGGTGTTAGAGAAATCTGTTCACTCGCCAATGAGAATACTCGATCACACGTAGAAATATGCTAAATAGATTGAAAGAAGATATACTCTAATGTAAATATTTTAATTACAAATGAAATAACTATTAACACATTTTACTAGATTGATTAATAGAATTAAGAAGTAATTCTTTTGTCTCATTGCATAGATTATAGAAGACTTAGTTTCGAATATCATGTAACATTTATTGAACTGACCTTGGAAATAGAATCCTAAAAAACATGATTAGTCTATATGATGAAAAATATTTTCATACGAAATTATCTTTTCATGCATTAAGATGATTCTAGTTAGTAAGTCAAGATGATATCTTTAATATCTTTCAAATAGATAGTAGAAACCATCTTATCAGCTACATATTATTATTATTGTCAGATTTGAGATTGAATAATAGAAAATAACTATACGCCATCTGCAATAACTCTGTTTATCCTTGACCAATCAAGATGAAATTGTGTCTTTAATCTATAATCCTAGATATCCAAAGACCTTCAATTCTCTATTGAATATCACACATTTTTGGTTTAACTGTATTGTTTTTTTTTTTTAATTTTTACCTCAGATTTATTTGAATCTGATATTTGACTGAAGCGTTGAACACAAAAATCAAGATATAAATTCCATAATTCATCTTAAAAAAAAAATTCATTATAAAAAAAGAAATCTACATATTTTATTATGAAAATAATTACTTTTATCAACTATTGAATTATTTAATTGTTGTTCATAATTTTCTCTAACTTGTTGTTCCAGTATAGCAATCATAAAAGCTAAGTTAATTTAATTATTATATATTTCTTAAATAAAATTCAAAAATAAAAAAATTCTTACTAACGTCTTGTTCTTTTTTAGCTGCTTCATCAATCATTTTACGTTCATTTATTAATGGACGTTGAGCTATCAATGATTGAGCAAGTGCATTAGAAGAGTATTTTTCTTTTAAACTTGAAAAGAAAGAAGAAAAAAACACAATCATAATCAACAAACATTTTTTTTTCTTGTCTTTACACTGAATAGATGTGATCAATTAATGGTTCAACAAATGAAAATTGTGAAAATTCATAAAGAATTTTAACAAATGAACAAATAAAAGTTGGATCATCTACAAAAATAAATTTAAAAGAAAAATTCTACATAATTTATCATTTACTTTCAATAGTTGTTTGTGCATTATGAAAAACAATTTCAACAATTTTGCCTTGTAATACAGCATCTTCTTCATCATTTTGTGTTTCTTGTTTTGTTCGATCAAGTACTGTTTGTCGTTTTTGTACTAATTCAATATAGAGTAATTCAAATTTAAAGTACTATTAAATAAATAAATGAATGAATTTCATTCTGAAAATTTTCTATTCAATAATTTACTTCAAGCCAAAGTTTTTTCTCTTGTGGCATTATACGAAGAGCACGTTGAAATAATGAACGAGCTGATGATGGAGATACCATTGTTTCAAATTCAAATTTTGCTGCCATTATCCATAACCCTAATTTTCAAAAAAAAAATCATATTAAAAATTTCTATCACTTACAATTAGAAAACTGCGAATTCTTTCAAGACCAGACTTGAACTAGACTCCATCGGATTGGTCCCGGACTCAATGTGCTCTCTAATAGTCTAAGAAATGCATACGATGTGTTAGTCACTGAATAAATAAAATCAGAAAAAGTATTTAGTATCTTCAGGATGTTTATCCGATTCCGATTAGAAAATTTCGTTCAGAGTGTCAAAGTACAGTTCGATCTAATCCAGAAAAACACGAATTTGCAGCTTACTACTTACAATACTTATTTCCATGTGTCTGTAATACAGATGTAAATGTACTTGATGCTGTTGAATAATCATGCTATGAAAAACAAAAATGAAGAATAAGAAATAAAATACTTTTTTTTTAATTACTTGTTTTTTAAGAAATTCAATAAATGTTAACCATAAATTAACATCTTTTTTAAATCGATGACATGCACTCTAAATAAAAGAAAATGAAAAAACATTAAAACAAATATTGTATGTTCTTACACGAAAAAGTCGTTCAATACGTCGTTTAATTGCTAAATCGATTTCATTTTTTTTATTAATTCTTCCTAATTTTAATTTCTATAAATAATTATTTAGATTTTAAGAAAAATAATTCTAAATATGTATACTTCGCGACGAAGTTGTACAAGTTTGAGAAGATGAGTTTCATACTTAAATTAAATTAGATTTTTTTATTGAAATGACATATATATATATATATTTTAAATTCACTTACTTTTATATAATCAAGATAACATTCTTTTTCTTTTGTTCGTCGAATGATTTTATACTCATGTCGTCTTCTTGTTCGAACTATTTTTCTTAAAAACAAAAAACAAAATTTTAACTTTTTAAATTATCGAAAAAGAATTTATTTGAATCTTCAGAAAGCTAAACAAAAACATTGATTTTTCCATTATTGAAAAAAATTTGTCAATCTAACCTATGTATTTCATATAAAATGTATAAATAATTTTTAGTGACTTTAGAATCTTTTACACAAACATGATAAACAATTTTAATTAAAAATTAGAAACAGATTTTGTAATTTAGAAATAGTGCCTTTTTTTTGTTCTCATGATATCCATACTTTATTTCAGCTTTTGTAAACAAGCCGATTCGTTGAGCTTGTTCAAATTCCGTTAGCATATCTTCCAAATGACGTTGTACTACTTCAGCCATGATCGTTCAAATCTAATCATAAAAACAAATAAATCAATAAATCCTACAATAAATATATAATACATGTTGCTATTTAGGTCAAAAGAAAAGATATACATTTATTTACACAGATACATATATATTCAAGTTATTTCTCCGAAGAGGTTAAAACAAGATATATAAAAATTCTTGTGTATATATCTTCTATAACAAGACCTATTTGACAGCAAAGATATTATAAATAAACGAAGATAACCTTCGTTTGTAAATATCTTTATAATAATTTTCGAAGAAAATACTAAGACTTCATTCATTAAAAAAAAAAATAAAGTCTACTCTAATCTTCGATTGGTTTTTTTGATTTTTCAAACAAAACTTACCAATAAAATATTTTCCTTATAAATGAAGAAAAACCTATTTTATGAAGAAAAAAACAACAAATAAACAAATGGATATATTGTAACCAGTCAGTACTAATGTGGAGTCCAAAGATGTTAACAGCTGATAATAGATGTCGTCAAAGATCTTTTTATTGCATTGGTCATCGACTTTTTTTTTTTGAAGTGCTGCTACTATCGACCTTAATCATCATTCATAGACGTTCGTTCTCTTCTCTTTTATCTTTTTTCCTCTTCCATATTTAGCTGTAAAATGAGTACTAATTCAATGGCTAGTGCAAAGGATACAACAAATACAAATTCATCATCATCATCATCATTATCAACTTGTTGGCAAGCACGTGATGCTTGGTGGAAATGTTTAGATTTATATGATAATTGTGAATCAAAATGTCAAAAACAAATTGAACAATTACATCATGATTGTAGTGCACAAATGGTATGTGTATTATATATCAAATTTCTTTTTGATTATATAAAATATCATTGGTTTTTATTTTAATTTATATATAGGTTCAATTTTTTGAAGAAAGACGTGCAAAATTAACACAAGGAAAAACAGATCGAAAATTAATGTTATCACAAAATATTTTGCATAATTATTTAACTGATTTTCGAAATAATGCTAATCATAATTTTTCTTCTCATCAAACTAGTTTTCCTTTTGATGATGAAGATTAAGATAAATGTAAATATATAAATAATTATATGTATATATATATATATATATTTGTAGATAGAGAAATTTTTAATAAGAATATGAAAAGTAGAGTTTGTTTATTGAAGATATATATTGGTGATTTTATAAAATGAAACTTTCTTTTTGTGTATGTGTGTGTGTGTGTTTTTTTTCATTATTAAGTTATAATACGAAGAAAAAGAAAGATCTTTAAGGTCTTGTCTTTTATCTATGTGTCTTTCAACATAACAGAAAAGAATAACTATTTTTTGGTTTGTTTTTTATTTATTTAAGATATATTATTTTAGTTTTGTCTTTTGTTATTTTAATGGCAACAAATCGTCCATCATCATCTAATACTACTACTACTATATCTTCAGCTATAATTATTCATGAATTAGCTGAATTATTACGTACAAATGGACATCGAGTTTTACATGGAGATAGTAAAGTTTGTTTTACATCGGATTCACTTACTCTATTAAATAATTATTTTCATTCGGCTAAACTTAATATGACATTACCATTAAGTAATGGTCATCCAAGAACGAATTCATTGCCATCATTACCACCATTACCAGCTGTTCAATATTTAAGAATTACGACGAAACTTAGAGATGATTTAGTATTTTTACATGATTTTTTACAGAAAATACAAGTTGTTAAAGTATGTTAAGAATATAATATAGATTTTCTCTTAAAAACTTTCTCAGATTATTCTAAAATTATATAGGATACAAACAGTCATATTTTTTCTATATATATATTAGAGAAATTCGAGATAGATTTGGTATGATGTTTGTTCTTTAAGTGATAAGATTTGAACAAAATTAGTTCAAGTATTAGTCATATAAAGCTAATATAGTAAAATACATTAGTTGACTATTAAGCATAATGTAAATTCTACTGGTATTAGATTAATATTCAAATCCGACAGCAACTTTTAACTGTCGACATATAATGTTAATAGTGTAAATGAATTTGCGTGATAAGTAGATATAGGCGTGATCATTATCTTTTGGCCACAGTCACGAAAACTTAATTCGTTGTATCAGTACGATCTGTTACAAAGCAACTTACCAAATTAATGGTATGCATAAGTATATCGAACCATATCATTATAGTTCTTCAACACTTGACAAGCAAAATAAAAAATAGTCTTCATATAGCTACATTAAAAGTTTATCGTGATCATAAGTCACGTGAATCTCTAGTGATGGGTTAAATTCAGTGATTGAATTGAATAAATTATATTTAAAACAAACAAAAAATTTTCATATGATTCATTTTTCGATAAGAAAAAAAAAGTCATATCTCAAAACGATATTATTTTCGATGGTAACTCGATAATAACAATATTGTAGCTGTTTTATACAGTGGAAAAATTTTTCAAATCTTATCCAGAATAGAGTCTTGCAATTGAGTCGAGTATCCAGTACTCAGCCCTAGCCAATGCTTTAGTCTGACTAAAAATTATCTGATTGGTCTGGGTGTCGAATATGAAAACAAACTGCCGCGTCAAGTTCAGTTATGGTCTTCTACTCAGTACTTATGTACATCTCAATAATTCTTTCAAACTGTTATTTACTTATAGATACAGAAGTGAAATGGACAGTACAATCATATCTTCACTAACTGGCACACTTGAGAATAACTAACATNCGCATTTGTCTTAAGTACATTTTTGTACTCTCAAGAAATCTCTTCCCCACACTCACCTCACATCCACATCTACACCAACCTTTTCCATTGAATTTAGAGAACTTCTTGAAAGCGGTGGTGTTCTTTCAAGGAGTTCTGATTACTTTTTACCATTTTAATCATGACCATTGTTGTTCTTTCCTACCGTTTTTTTCTTCGTGCTTTTTTGTAATTTTGCTTTGCATTAGAAGCTTACCGTTGCTCACCATGGGTAATCTGTAGTACAAAAGAGGATTGAAAATAAACAGCACATGTGAATAACATCACGAAAAGAACAACACTCGAGAAAAAGCGTTGATTGGAAAAAACCCAGCAAATTTCATTCAGAACTCCACACGTAATACACTCTATTGTTGATCCAACGAAACGATCGTCAGACATTGAAGGCTGTGTTTGAGGGTAAGTAGACTGTCGATACCAATGAGTTTTTCTTCGCTATGCTAGAAAAGTTAGTTAATGTTAACATTTTCGGAGGGAAAGAATACTAATGATCGAATTCATCAATGGAAATTATAGGAAATTGGATAAACGAATGCAATATTTGTTTTTCTATTGCATGTGATTCTTCTTATTACATAGAATGTAGCATTAATTAGAAGGAACAACAATAGAAATCAGAAGCAGGCATAATAACCCTGGTCAATGATTTCGACGGAAACCCACAGTAAAGACACCGTTTCCCACCGGAAATGCCGAAAGATTATACAAGCTTGGAAACAGGAATTCCGTTGCCGACTCTGCCCGATTCCGGCAGAAAACAGATAAATCCAGTCACCGGATTCCATCACCGGATTTCTACTTCGATGTTCCAATCATTTACCGGCGTTTTCCAGCGACATTTCATTCACCTAGGAACTAGGACCAATGAAGTGAAAAAGAAACTTGTGTACTTAGTGCGAAAAAGGTCTTTTCGACAAAAAAACTTTCTTTTCCAATTCCTTGGGAGAGAAAATAGAAGAGAAGATCTGTTTTTAAGGAGGATTACCTTTACAGACACAATGATTGCATGAAGGACGAGAAACTTCAGTTCGCATTGAAGTTTTCATTTATAATATCATAGTGAACCTTTTCGAAATGAAAAAGAATCAGTTTACGTAGCATCCATAAGGAACATCCGGTAAAAATCAGCCTTTTTGGACCCTTTCCCTCTAGACGTCCGATAACTTTTTTTTCAAGGCAATGGCATAAAGTAAACGAAAAAAGATGAAATGAAGTAATTCTATTTCAATCGTTTGCTTAACTTCTTGATCAAAAATTCAATTAAAATTACTATTAAATCATAAGTATTCACACAAATCTCTCTATAGCGAACAAGCAAAAAATGACGGAAATTATGAGAAAAAGTTTAAGTTTATGGCACTGATCATCACAGAATTTTTCATTCTTCAATAAATCCACTAACTGACCATGCTTAATAATTGTTACCTACACCTATCACATACTCCAAGCAAACCTGGCTTCACTGAAAATCTTCAATACAACGAACAAAGTGAACATTTAGACGAAGACGAAGTTGGACGTATCGAAGAAGGTAAACAATACGAGAATAATAAAAGAAAAAAAAATGAAAACTTCTTCATCTTATCTTAAGATCTACATTTTCTCTTTTACTCTTGAATAATTTTCTTTTTAAAAAATTTTATGAAGATATGCAGCGAGAGTTAGCTGATGATGCACTATGGAAAAGAATGCAACAAAATTCATTTACACGTTGGGTTAATATACATTTAAAATTAGTTAATCGTCATATTGAAGATCTACAATCAGAATTAAGTGATGGTTTAAATTTAATTGCTTTAATTGAAGTTTTATCACAAAAAAAAGTTCCACGACATCATAATAAACGACCAAATCTTCGTTCACAAAAATTAGAAAATGTATCTGTTGTATTAGACTTTCTTGAAAATACAGAACGTATACGTCTTGTTACTATTGGTAAGTAAGTTTATTTTACCTATTAGATATATATATATATATATACATATATAAATGTACGTGAGTGTAGGGAAGAGATTTCTTGAGAGTACAAAAATGTACTTAAGACAAATGCGTTAAGATTTTCGTCGTTTTCTTTTCAAAACTTTGTTATATTTTTGTTTTATGATATTAAATAAGAATTTTTTACTTAGTTAATCATTCTTTATCAATATTGTCTAATTTGTTATTGAATATGTAAGAAAACAAAAGGTTTCATATTTCATTGAAGAAATAAAATCGAACACAAGCAAAACAAAGAAACGGTACAACTGTTATGTGTATTGAGAATCGATAAAGCAATGAGCTGGAAAGAATACAGATTTTTTTTTTCGTTTATTCATTTAATAAGGATGAATTAAGAATATATATTAACAGATAAAAAACAAAAATAGAAAGTTTGTTTTTAATTGAACATCACTGCTATAAAAGTGTACATTACAATTAATTTATCGAATTTCATATAATAGACTTTTTTTGTTTTAAATATCGAATTATATTCCCTAATATTTACTATAGATATTAATGATTTGTTTAAGATTCGATTGACGTATCCTCAAGGCCTCGATGACCATGAACTAAACGTCGAAGTGAATCTTGATATCGATTTCCTTTTGTTTCGCGCCCAATAAATGCTTAAAGATACGTCAACTAAATCTATTTAAGACATTAATTTATGCTATAAGTGTTATAGAATAAAGTTTACAATTCAATAATATATCTCAAAAAAAAAGAAGAAGAAAAAAACAGCATCTCGTTCATTCGAATATAGATTTTTTTTGCTCATAAATTGTATTATATTGTCAAGATAAGACTTACTATTTTGTTTAATTTTCAAAAAGTATACATATATATGTATAAATATTTAAAAAAATTTAGATGCTACACATATTGTTGATGGTAAATTGAAATTAATTCTTGGTTTAATATGGACACTAATTTTACATTATTCAATATCATTACCAATGTGGAAATTCGAAGACAATGGTGGATCTGGTTCAGGAAAAGATGCTACATCAGAACAAAAACTTATGAGTTGGATTCAAGAAAAATTACCAGCAGAATTACCAATTACAAATTTTACATCTGATTGGAATGATGGTCGTGCTATTGGTGCACTTGTTGATGCATGTGCGCCAGGTATATAAATAGAAATATTATACTTATCTTAAAAGAAAAAATACATTTCTGTCGGTTTTTTGTTTCTTTTTTTAATTAGGACTTTATCCGGATTGGAATGATCGTGATCCGAAGAATGCATTGGAAAATGCTAAAGAAGCTATGAATTTAGCTGAACATTGGTTAGGTGTACCACAATTAATTCAACCACTTGAAATGATTAATCCAAAAGTTGATGAACAATCTATGATGACATATTTATCAGAATATTCAAGTGCGAAATTGAAATCAGGCGCACCTAATAGACCAAAGACAAATTCAGCACAAGTTCGATGCTATGGAAAAGGTTTGTACTTTAAATGATTATGTCTTTAAGAATAAAGATAGAAAAAAAATGGAACCATCTGATGCCTCTTTTTTTGTCTCCGTTTCTCTCTCTCTCTCTTGTTGGATGAATTAGTATATGCCTTTTATTCTTGATTCGCGGTCACCTCTTTTGTAACATACAGTCTAAATGATGAATTCATCTGAAAAAGTTGGAAATGCAGAATCTTATTCATTTAAACGTCATGTAAAAAAAAACAAATAATATTATTGAAGAGCAATGTGTTAAACGAATACATTATTAGTATTACCGTCCTCGTTTGTTTGACTATACTTGACTTGAAATCTATCTGTATTTTTATTTTCATTAGGTATTGAACCAAATGGTAATCATGTTGACACACCAGCTAAATTTCATGTTGAAATCTTTGCTGCTGGCAAAGGTAATATTGATGTTATTATTATTAATCCGAAAGGACAACGAGAAAAAGTAAAGAAAACAAAAAGGAAAAGTTATATTTTTATTCTTTTTACTATACAAATATTTTAGTGTGATGTGGATTTTCGTAATGATAAAAATCAAACATATGATTGCACATATTATCCAACAATGGAAGGACAATATAAAGTAAATTAAGAAATTATACATAAAAGAAATGTATAGGATTTATTTTATAGATTATTGTAAAATTTGCTGGACAAGAAGTACCAAAATCACCATTTTCACCTTATGTCGAAGGAAAAGCAGGTGATGCAAGTAAATGTCGAGCACATGGACCTGGTCTTGAATCAAACGGTGTTATGGTTGATAAACCAATATGGTTTGAAATCGATGCAGCAGGTTCATTATAAGTTCATTCCTTTTTTTTTTACAATCTTATCTTTCAATATAAAATAGATGCTGGTAATGGTCTTGCTGAAGTTGTACTTGTTGATCCACGTAGTCGACAAGATGTTGTACCTGTAGCAGTTAAACAAACTAGTCCTGGAAAATTTCGTTGTGAATATGTACCACATGAATCTGGTTTTCATTCAGTAAATATATTCTTTGCTGGTCGACCTATACCAAATAGTCCATATGGTGTTAATGTTTCATCATGTATGTAGAAGTTTTTAAAAATAATTCTTCTTTTAATTGAAAAAAACAACATATACATAAACGACTTGTGTAATAGCATCAATTTCATCATACGATGATTTAAGAGATAGATTAACAACAAGTGAGGATGATTATTATTCATCAATTGAATTAGAACAATCAAAGAGTACAACTAGTGTTGATACAATATATGCTCTAAGATATCAAAATGGTTTGTCTTATGATAGTTTTTATTTCTTTGTAGATGGGAGGGNCTTCTATTTCATTTTTAATGATTTGTTATCATGATATAACTGAAGAAAAAAAAATTATTTGTGCAGCTATATTTGGAACATATTATGCTATTGTTATGATGATTGTTGTTGTTGGTACAATTGTAAGAATGGTTGATGGTTCATGGAAAACAACAGCAGTGTTTTTTCTGTTGTTTATGGGAATTATTTTCTTTTTTACAGCTATTTGTCATCCATATGAATTAAGTAAGTATGAAAGAGAAAGAGACTTTATTTAAATATTTTGTATTAATTATTGTCAATAGATTAATTAAGTTTTTTTTTCTTCCTATGATGGGTATTGAATTAAGATCGAATAGAGAGTAAACTAACCGAAGAAATAAATTTCATTAGACGTGAATTGTTTTTTTATTCATTAGAATGACTGTAGGAATTAACTCTCTATTAGGCAAATCTTAAAATAAGTTAACCAAATCAAAGGAAGAAAAGTATAAGAAAAGAAGCATTTATTGTCTATCTTACAAGAAAGCCGTCTCAAGTGCTAAAAGGCTTTTGAGCAGAAATTTTGTGCACCAATAGGGATGTATAGACAAGAGAAAATCTAAGAAGATATGAGCGCAAGTTGTGATTGGACTGAGATATACTGACATTTTACTATAATTTTTCTACAGAAAAATTATAGTTAGATATCGGTATCTCACCCTTGTTATTAGAGGCGCCACACGGAACTGAGTCCCTCGGAAAATTTTCAAAGTTGTAGTTAACCATAGCCCATAAGAGGTCTGCGAGGAGCTCAGCCTTTGCCTTCTGGCCTCTTATCTAGTAAAAATTAACCACAAAGATCGAATATGTATACTCAGATAACTTAGAAAGAGAATACTGAATTATGATGATAAACGCATTTCGTTTGAATAGATCAACAGTTTCATGTTCCGTTTATTTATCAAATGTAAGGTGTCATTTATATTCTCATTGATTTATTTATTTAATACAATATCAATAATTCATTGAGTGAAATTCAGACTATGATCATGCGAATAGGTTGGGTCAATTGGAAGATTTTTACTAAAGTTGGCAGGATTTTCGAGGAGTTTGGACGATTTTTTTTTGGGAACTGCTGAGCAAGAAATACAAATACTGGAACTTCGCTAGCGAAAAACGAAAATTTTTAAGATTGAATGAATTATCGCTGATATAACTTGATGACTTTGAGTAAATCATATCACATTGCATAGAACTCTACTTTTTTTCTATACTAATTGTTATCTTGATTCAAGTAACATTTTCATACTATGGAAAAAAAACAAACCATCAAGATTTACAATATTAGTTTCTTCTTTCAACAATAAACAAGATCTCATATTCATATGATTTATTTCAGACTGTGTTCAACCATGTTTACTTTTTTTTCTTTGTGTTCCAACATCGTATGTTTTACTTGTTATATATGCATTAACAAATTTAAATGCTAATGCATGGGGTACACGTGAAGATATATTTATACCAAATCGTAAGAAAAAACAAAAATTTAAAAGTCAAGCTGAATGTTTACAATTTCTTGAACAACAATTTTCAAATGCTAAAAATTCTAATGAATTATTAGCTGTTGTTGAAAATTTAATTGATGAATGTCATTCCCAACGTACAGAATCAAGTGATCAATTATTAGCACAAATAACAGCTGTACTTAATCGTATAAATATGTTTGATGATCTTGATAAACGTTTAAATAAAGGTTTAGATTTGCATGGTCTTGGTTTAGAAGAACTTATTGAAGAACAAGAAAAAAAAGATCAAAATCAAAATATAAATCATGAACAAAAACATAATGAACAATTAATTAATAAATATGATGATCGAATAAATCCATATTGGTTTGATCATCAATTAGTTAAATATGCTGATGTTAAATATTTAAATGAAAATGAATTTATTTTTTGGAGACGTTTAATACAAAAATATTTAAAACCTATACATATGGATGCATTAGAAAAACAAAAACTTCAATTAGGTTTAAATGGTTTACGTGATCAAGGTGTATTTGCTTTTTTTATGCTTGATGCATTATGGATAGCATTTGTTTTTTCTGTTTTACTTGCACAAAATCGCTTAAAAGATATGTTATTTATACCTGTACCTATACCAAGTTCATATAATGATCATGCTATGATTGAACCATTAGGTGTTATGTTAATATTTTTCTTTGGTATTATATGTTTAATACAATTTATAGCTATGCTTTGTCATCGTTATAATACATTTCAACATATATTAGCATCAACCAAACTTCGTTCGAGTAAATTTGAAGGTGTTAGAATTGAAGATATTATGGATATTGTTAAAATGCTTCAACAAATCAAAGTAAGAAAATAAATCAACAAGAAGAAGAAGAAAAAAAACAAAATATTATTTTTCTTTTTTTTTAGCCAATTGATGAAGAAAATGAACCATTACCAGATTATAGTGATGGTGAAATGGATAAAAATGATAATCCACATAATGGAATGAAAGGTGGTGATGATGATGATCGATCACTAGCTGGATCAGGTGATGACGATGTTTTTCTTCAAGCAGCAGCTATTGCTGGTGAAGTAAATAATGAATCGGCTGCAGGAAAATATCATGTTGTCGATGAAAATGGACCAGTTACTGTAAGAAATATTTTTTTTTTAAATGTTAAATTTATCTAAAAATAAGAGGAAAATATTTCCACGGTGACTTCAGTATCGAACATATGAACTAGATACAGAAAAGACGGAACCGGAACTAAGTTTTGTTTTTGACCCAGGCCGGAATTATGCACGATATCTATTATGATTGTATTGAACTCTCCTCAAATATTATTTTATCATGACTCATATGTTCTAAATAGAGATATGATCCCCATTCTGCTAGGATCAAGACCTGATCTCGAACATATGTCTAGTATGAACTAAGAAATAATTCTACTTATATTGTCTTATTGAATGAAAATATGTTTGTATTTTATGAAAAGATAAATGTATGATTTGGAATAAACCCAACAAAAAAGAAACACGAAGTCTTGCCGTATACTTGCAAATTTTTTAAACGAAACTTTTTTTAATAACTTGTCGAAAAATTCGTCGCATATCAAACATACTTGGAACCGGACCGGCAAACCGGTACCGGACCGGCCGGTTTGCCGGTTTGCCGGTCCGGGCCGGTCGAAGTTTCGAGACCGGCCGGTTTTTGCCGGTTTTGTACCGGTTTTTTTATCATTTTTAGAGGATAATGTTTCATTATTCTATAGATATCGTACATTATAACAGACAAAGATATCGTGTTGATAATTAAAAATTTAAGTATGAGAGATGAGAAAGAGATTATATGAAATCAGTACTGCATTAATCTTACACCGCTTTACAATCCCGAAGGTTTAATCCCGAATTTTATTGTTCACTTGTTTTCAGTCAATAAGCAGCGGTATATTTGCACTTTATACTGCAGTCTTATATTAAAGTGATGAACAAAAAGAATTCGTATCTTCAAGAATCAATTTTAAATTTATTGAATAATTTGCATTCTCTTTTTATGCATTTATTGTTTTTCTTTGCTAGATGAGAGATGGCTAGTGTATCGTTCCTTATTGTTTAGATATAATTTTTCTTATTTTGTGATTGTTAGGAAGGACATAATATATATCTGAGAATTGTTCTACGCTTTGCTCTTTTATTCAATTCATTTATTTCATGACGTTTCGAAGGACACGTCTTGATTCCGATTGTGTTGAGGTCTTAGTTGTGCTCAAAGAAGCTTATCTTAATAATTTATGGCCTAAAGAAGATTGATATTGCTGTTGTAATCAATGGGTACTTAAAAAGAAAAAACGGACTACATTTTCACTTATATATATATTATTATTATTTTGTGAATTATGTGAAATGTAATTTATATTTATGTTATTTACAACAGCCGTTGTGAGGGTGAAATAGTAATCAAAGATTATGAAAATTTTGTTTTGTCATTTTTTGTTCTTTTCGTTAACTATTATTTGATTAAGAAGAAATAATAAAAAGTTTGTGATGAATCAGAAAATAAAGGAGTAGCAACTAGTTTGTCGTAACTACTTCAATTTTTCAAGATAATACACTTTAAAATGTTTGAGACTTGTCATAACTGGTATCTTTTCCTCAGAGTTTGGCTAATTATAGACCAGTATTATTTGCATTAAACAATGATTTATGTTCAGTGATCATCTTCGTTCATACTAACATCATAGGATCCAAATATCTGTAATAAAATGAAGACTATTCATTCATATCTCACTGAAAAATCGTTTCTTTTACACAATCATAGGCATATTGAAACTCATATTGCATTAGTTGAGCTTTTATCCATCATATCTTAAAAAATACATACATTTGGTTTTTTACCAGTCAAATTATACCATAAAACCGGCCGGTTTTTTGCCGGTTTTTTACCGGTTCAATCGCAAATGTAAACCGGCCGGTTACCGGCCGGTCCGGTCCGGGTGAAAATGTCAAACCGGCCGGTCCGGTCCGGTCAGAAAAAACTCGACCGGTTCCAAGTCTGGAGCAAATGAATAATGATGACCATGAAATCTTTATTTGGTAAGCAGAAACTTTAACTCGTAAAACTATATGTTAACATACAATATTGACAATATATCTTGTACAAAAAAATGTTTCTCCCGTTCCCTACCGCTCCCCCCCCCACATCGTAGCTTACTTTTTTTGGGAGGAGAGGGAGACCTTGCGCCTCGGATGTATATATTATTTCTTTTCTCTCGAACATACGATATCGAAAATATTTTTGTTTTCTCTCTTCTAAAAGTGAATATATATATGAGCTGCATGTGTAATCAACGAAAAGAATACAGTCAGTTTATTCCTGTATTAGTTATAATTGTAAAAACATAGGTAAGTTCCATTTTAATCCTTTCATCGAGTTTCAAGAATTATTCGTTTCTTATTTTACGTCTTTTTTTCTTCAACAGATAGAAACATAATTCATCATTCTTCTACATTCCAAAAAATTTCTCTTTCGTTCTATCCTGTTCTTCCATCAATGCACGGATGAGTGTTTAAAGAAAAATCGAGCACGTCAGATCGTATATTCGATTGTTTGAAACTGTCAGTTACTGCGGTATTGACTTACCGCAATGTAAAACGGTTTGACTTTCGCGGTTACTTAAAATTGGTGAAAACTGCAGTTTCTCTAAGCATGTCTGAGCCAGTGAACCGGGCTCAGGATGCTTGTGCTGTCTGAACTTTTCACAAAAAACAGACGAGGTCGTCATCAAGGAACGATGCAGTAAACTTCTTCAAAGTTTGATGATACCGCAAAGTCACTTTGCACAGAGAGATGAATTCAGAAAATTTGTTTCAAATTTCTTAAAAATAGTTGAACACAACGTCCTCATTGTTTTTACATATTCTATCATACTTCAATACGCACCGGACGGAGTGTGCAATGACAATAGTAGACAATATGTGCACACTAATATTTAAAAAAACGCGGTTTTATGAAAAACTTTCTTTGCCAAAATAGTGATGGCATGTTTCGTGACTACAGGCATAAGTATACTCTTGGAAGGTGATTCTTTTTGAAACTGCAAGATAAGCTACCGCAGTTACAATCGGGATCACCTAGGTTTCTAAAACTGTCGTTCACAATGAAATTCAACACTACGGTTTTCACACGACTTACAGCTATGCTACTGGTCTTCACCCAACAGAAGGCTGTAGGCATCGTAAATTATGAAAGAAAAGAGGTCAAAATAAGCAGAATTTCGTTTTGTGCTACGTGAAGAACTACACGTCAAATACCTGCAACAACAAGTACGATCATCAGAATGAAAACGAACAAAATAATATAACTACGAATTCTTATTTCTACATTACGTACAAACCCGTTATGAATATAGATATAAGTTGGATTATACAGTCTTGCTCTAGCAAAAAATAGGTGCATGCAAAATTTGAGGATGCAATAAAAATTTATTAAGTTCCGATATTTTTGTGGGGGGAAACAATCGTTGCTCTTCGTATTATCACGGCGCACTTATAATCAATATTGCGGTTGTCAATAAGCATATCGTGGTATATGAAACCGATTATCAACGTGATATGTAATACTGCGGTTTACAGCGGTTTTTTTCAAAAAACTTTTCCGCGGGTAGGCATAATAGAGAGGTAAGAATCATCCTTCAAGAAATATATCAATAATATTATAAAGTTGTTCTTCAGTTAGAGGGATTAATGAAGAAGGCTTGTTACGAATACGCTTATAGCCATAAAAAGAAGTTTAAGTCTTCATCAGATTAAGAAGCTAGAGAAAAGCTTATCGTCACTCTCTTGCAAAAATGACGGTGTAATTTCTAGAGAAGACTTGAAGCTTACCACGCTTTCTCCTTCATATAGAATATTGTTGTTTTTTTCGATCAATACTCTTAAAATTTCTGGACTACTCACTGATTAAAGTACGAACAAATTTAATATTGAGAATCAAGTAGAACATTGATCAGTAAGTTAAAAAACTATTGTAGATTTTGTTTTAGTATTAAAAACTTGCTCGATGATTGCCCACTCCCCATTCACTCTAGTCAATGCTTAGGTTGATTCGAATATTTAAATATTTGTTCGTCCAAATCAAACACGTCAGTTATTTGCAATATGAAACTTGAGTTTCTCAGTATACAACGAATAGACATTAAATCTTCTAATCACAAAATATTTATTGCTTTATTCTTATGTGATCAAATATTGTAAATGACACTTGAAAATTTAACTAGTTAATATTTGAGACAGAAGAAATTCATCTTAACACTTTTCAAAAAAAAAAGAATATCTAAAGTAGAAAGGCAAATTGAAAAAATACGAGTAGATTTCAAGTATCGAGAGAATCAATAGATATTGTCTTATAGTCTGAGAAAGCAATGTTGTACTAAAAATTAGCATACGATACGAAAGTAATGGCACAAACGTCGATCCTTGTTTCTCTTCCATAAAAGGATGTTGAATGGAAATGTTTTTTTTTCTACCAAAAGACAGCATTTTCTCCGCTGTCGAAATATATATAACTTAGTTTTATAATACGTTTGTAAACGAAACGATGCAACAGAAAAAAGAAATGCTCTTAAAAAGAATCTATATTTTTCCATAAGAGGACTATGCAATATGTCAACCTTAATATTTCTTCAATGCACAGATACTGAAAAGAATACTTTTTCTTCTTTCGAACTGTATATGATTTGTATTTGTCACGCATTGATAAATGAAGTAAGATGAGAAAAAGATGATAATTACTTATAATAAACTGTCGTTTTACGAGATATTTTTACCGATTTCATAAAAGTAAAAGTAAGCACCATTTTACATAATCTTTTTAATGGGTCCACAGAAATCAAATCCATTACTGTCTAACAAGATGTTTTTGACCATTTCATGTAAAATTACGAATTTATGATGCGAGTATTCCTCTTTTTTTTTTCTTGTGCAATTTTATTTATGAATGCGTAACAAATATAAAACAAATACTGTTCGAAAGAAGAGAAAATTTCCTATCAATTGATACAAGAATATTCTGTTCAGAGCCTATTAATCGAAGAGAAATCGAGATTGATATTGATGTCATTATTTTTTGCATCGTACGTTACTATAAATCGTCTTGGATTAATTGCTTTTCAAGAGTCAATAGTAAACGTTTTCAGGATATTCCAAAATTTCCAACTCGAAAATGTTCTTTTTTTGTGTAACTTCACTATTGATTGCATTTTATCAGTTGATTTTCTTGCGTATGATCAGTGACACCATCATAGTTTTATATCTAAAGACAATTATTGGACGTTCTCTTTAAAGTAATTACCCTTAGCCGAGTTCCTAAAATTCAAAATTCAATTTCTTTTAACGAGGAAACATCAGAACTAAGTTCTAAAACATTGACTGTTTGAGATTGTAACAATTCAAAGACTAAAACTGATCTAGAAGGTGAAGTAATTAAAACACAAAGACTGTTCAACATTATAATGGCATCGAAAAAGAAATGTTGAATTTTTGTATTTTAGCTGATGGTGATTACATTGAAGAGCACTTTAATAGTTTGTCTATAGAAATAAAAAGATAATCTTGTCATCTATCATACGAGAAAAAGTCCGTTGATAAAAGTCAAGCAATAACGAATTATTCCGTTCACGAACTTGTGGGACACATCGCACATTCGTCACTTCTTCGCTTAAACAAAATATTTATTAATTTTTACTCGGATTTCTCCATTGAAAAACTGAAAATTGTTGAAAATGTTTGATCAATCGCTAAAAACGATATATTAAAACACTTATTCAGAAAAGTAACGCTTGTGATGAATCAAAGCTAAATGAAGGATGAGTAACTATGTTCTGTTTTGCTTGGAATAGTTCGAATAGTCTATTTATTTGTAATGAATATCAAAAGATTATTCCAAAAGAACTTCTGTGGAACTGACATATTTTTGAAGAAAATTGCGAGCGTAAGTTTTAAGACGAAGCTTTCGTCTTCCACTCTTTCCGCTTCCCCCTTCCATCACAGACCATATCAACTAGGATTAAATAATGGGTATATATGTATAAGTCTTATTTTTCATTTACTTCAATACTTATAATAAGATAAATATTAATTTAAGAAAATGAAAAATACTGACAGAATGATACCAATGAAAACAAAAAATGAGTGCGGTCGCCAGCAAAAAACAATGAAAAAGTTCTCGATTTTACACTTTCTCCAGTTCGTAGTAGTTTAATGAAGCTGAAGAACAAATGTGAGTTCCACATTTCAGCCTCTAAGGGACCGCGTTGACAAGTATTTGTTTAACATTCATTTGTTCACATTTAAAACAGAATACAAACTACATAAGTTAGTTGTATGCATGATTTAAGAAAAAAAATCACGCTATTTTACATCATAATAAAAAATAATGTTAAACCAATGATGTTTCTGATTTCATATCCTTCTTTTTGAATTCTTAATCAACTAATTTTTCTTCATCTAATTTAATAAAGAGCTCTTCTTCTTCTTTTTTTCTGACAATATTCTCATGGCCACATTCTAACCTTCAGGAACTATTTGTAAGAATGACACGGCATCGATTTATACGGTTTTTTTTTGTTTCGTTAATACTTCTAATTCTTTTTTATCAACAAATTAAAAAGAATATGAACACGGATACTTTTGATGTTATAAAATAAGTGTTTGATATTTGTTTTTTTGTATAACTTCGTTCATACTTGGTTAAGCCTTTGATGTTTGTATGATAGATATATAAATTAATGATCATTGGTTTCTTTTTGTTCTAAGAATTTATTTCTACTTTGTCGATTTGGAATAATGGCAAAATTCGATGCAACTACAGCTATGTTTGTACAAGCTGATACAAATCAAGATGGACGGTAAGAATTAAGAATTTTGATTAAATTATAAATCCATATACATATTTAGTATTGATAAAAATGAATTTCGTAATTGGATTTCAAATACTAAAGAATTTACTCCTTCATCATATGAATCATCAACTAGTAGACATAATCTTAATGATAATACTGCTGATCGATTTGATCGATATAAGTATAAAGTTAATTCTCAAAATCCTTGGGAATCTACGGATGATAAATATACTTCATATAGAACTACAGCAGCAGCTAGTGATCGGATTAATGAAACAGTGATTCATACAAATAGCTTAGAAGAAACGAATCGATATCTGGAAAAATCAGCTAATAATATTTATATAGATCCTAATCCAAAAATTATTCGACGAACAACAACTGAAGCTCCAGTAACATATGAACAACGAGTTTTTATTCGATATCTTCAATCACCAGTCGTTCCATCACCAGGAGTAATGAAATAAATTGTCTTAAAACTCAATCTTACTAAGCTTTGTATGATTTTAGCCACTGATTATTAAAGAAGTGCGTCCACCACAACCACCACCTCCTCCACCACTTGTCATACGCCAACATGCATCATCGCTTGCTCAGCCACCTCCACTTATCTTACGTGAACGACCACCAACACCACCGATATCTGTTTCGAGTGAAACAAGTTACAAAAAACGAAATTTAAATTACATGTATTAGACTGGTCAATGTATTTTTTGTTTTATAGTTACTCGTTCTTTACCTCCTATACCTGTTCCACCACGATCAGTGGTCATCGAACGTTTTCCACCTCTTCCAGAAAAACCACGTACAAAAATTATCTTTATTTTCCATTTTGCTTTTGTTTTATTTCAGATTGTTGTTTATTTACCATTTAGGCGATATTATAATTGAACGATGGATTCCCTACGGATCTCAAACTCAACGCCGTACGATTGTTCAACGTGCTCCTCCTGCTGTACAATATCCACAACCATCTCATACTGTTGTTATTTATGAAGCGGTTCAACAACGTATAGTTCGAAAATTTGAAAAACTGGGTGTTACCAAAGAAAATCCTGACGATTATGTAGCTCGTTATGGTGCATCACTTTTAGATTCAGCAACACTGGTTCAACAAGCTCGTAATGCTGGTGTTATTGAAGATATAGTAAATTTTTTTTTTCAAAAAAAGATACCTTCAGAAAAAACTATATAAACTTTTTTATTTTAGTCACCTCCAGTATCATCATCTTCAATATATACAAATACACGCGAATATACTGTTGATTTTGATAAGTCAAATGAAATAACCAATCAAGGCTTCTCATTATCGAATGCAAATCGCAGGAAAAAAGTTCAGCTAGATGCTGGTAAAGAAACTATTTATCGTGGTAGTAGAAATTATTCATCATCAGCATCAAACTTTATTGGTGATAGCGCTTTAGATGGTAATGCTAGTGTAACCCGAGGTGGATTTTATATCGATGATGCTAATCTTGCCACTCACTACTGATACTAGCCGTGTTGGAAAACTGAATTAAACAGAAGTTCAACGATACATTTAAAAAATTATTGAACTAAAATTCTTTCTCTTTCTATTTAAAGGCTGTTCTTTTGTTTTTGATATCTTTTACAAGAGAACGCATAAACTATATAATAAAAGACACTAAAATAAAAATTAAACAAAGATTGATTATTCATTACCGATACCATTATTAGCTGAATCACCCTTTATTGTAAATCATACGGGTATTATTTTTGAACAATCTGCTTGCATTGTATCTTATAGTAGCCACAAAAAGTGCCGCTACCAGGTGAAAAATATTTAAACATCAACTATTTGAGTTCATACTTTCACCATAAATAGAAGTCATTGATTTCTGATCTCAAGCACCAAATTTGATCTCGACCAGCTGATGTAAACGGGAGTTATTAGTTAAACAGTATTATCACACTATAAAGACTATATCTCAACCATTTTTCTACGTTCAATTTTGCGCGACTACTCATTCGAAGTTCAACATCGAAATAATCTGTGATCAAAATTTGGTAAAAATTACTATGCGTTATTGGACATATGATCTTTATAATAAAAATGCTTGTCAAGCGATTAGTTCTAGTCTTCAGTCTGGGAATTAATAACTCGGCTTAATTTTGGCTGGTTCCCACGAAAATTTCAGTGATGACTTCTCATGAGCCTAGCAGTTAGTGATAAAATTTTCAGAATTACAGTTCAAATTGAAATCGAGATGGAGTCATCAAAATAGTTCATAATGATACATATTGCCAATCTATGAGATCTTGAAATTATACCGGGTGGGCATTCGACTCAGTAAAGTAGACATAGGCAGACATATTGTAACAGAGTATAATGACAAGCAAAAAATTTCTGACATCGTATCTTTGCGCTCTTTTCTCGATTCATTCAAGAGATGGTGAGCAATACTTGTGTGTGTAAAAAGCGTTCCTACACAAATGAGTTGAACTTCGGTGTTCAGAGAAGTACCTTTTCATGTTCGAACAGTTCAGCCAGGATATCCATGCGATTAACACTATGATGCGAAAATTTTATAAGCTGAACGAATAGGTTCTGTCTGTAAAGTCATTCTTATATAGGTAAGTCTTCTTCCGATGAAAATTGTTGACCAAGGTCTTGAATAAATAGAACAAAATAGAGCCGAAATGCGATGCCAGAAAATTCTTGCTTGTCATTTTAATTTATTACAAATTATTTACGTTTTTTCTAGTGCTGATTGAACTATGTTAAATCTAATGATGTGAATATGTTACTGAGTGTTATTTTCTAAATATAATATTATTTATTAACTATATTGACTGTGAAAATTTAAAAGCTTTACTCTAAACTGTATGTTCGAATGGCCTTTATAGAATATTTTACAAGCGAAAAACTCTTCGTAGTCATTTAAAGAACGGAAAAAGAAAGATTACTTTTTCGTATTAAAATCTATTGCGACAGTTCATAGTATTTATTTGAGATGAATTTGTAGGTGCAACAGCTTATACATACTAACCAAAGAATAAATGATTGACAATATAAAAAACGGGATGTTTTAGGCTAATGACGTTTTTCTCAAAACCAATTTTTTCTTCAAAATTATTTGAAAATCCTTACTTGACTACAATCTAATCAAAGTTAATGATGATTATTAGATTAAATTTTGATATAGCTGTATACTAATAAACAAAACTATTGATTTTAAGATTCTTTGGTAAATTTGCTATTACAGTACGATTGAACTGTAGCAATTTTCTAAGGGTTCATGGTCTTATTGTATTTTGACCGAGATATTAAATTATTAGCAACTGTTTCTATGCAAAACTAAACATTCCCATAGCATTGTATTTTCCAGCTGTATTTTTGACGTGAAACGTTGTTCACATAAATATCATAATCAGACAAATCAATGAACTAAATCAGAAAATTTTCTGCTTGAGAGAAACTACTGCAACGAAAAATTCCTGAAATCCGATATAATTGAGATCTTTAGGTGAGGAAAGTTTCAGAGAAAAAGAATTGAAAAAATTCAATATCTCAGCTGCAAGACAATGGGCTCTTTAAAGGTTACTAAAGTCAAATTTTTTGCATGAACATAAATAGTGTAAATTATTATGAATCAATTGTTCTCTACCATCAGAACAATAATTATAATTGAAATTTTCTATCCTCCAGTTATTTATGACACACCCTGTATATTACAGGAATGTAGGCAATAAGATGAATCACTTTTTTCAGCATTATCGGTTCTACTATTTGACTTCTTTTATCTATTTTGAGAAACCTGTCAATCTTATAAAAGTTATCCGGAGAAGCTTCAGTAACAATGAACAGTACTTTTAACAATAATTACAATCTTATAAAATCAATGAGCACCAAAAAAAGTCATTGTTTGACTCATGTAATAATCTCTTAGCTTTCTACTAGAGAAATCATTGATTCGAGAACAAATAATCAATTTGAAAATGTAAGATAACGCTTACCTGTTGTCGAATGCCGGTAGTCATCATTTTTCTCAAATTTAAGGACAATCGATACGCACCGACGATGATTGTTGTATTATTAACATCGGTGTTCAACTTGAAATGAACAAGTGTATTTCGTTGGTCGGAAAATTGAAAATTATCGTGCAAGATTGCTACCGAATACAGATGAAACTCTCAATCGTATTCGTTATACTCGTAGTTACATTGAATAAGCCGATTTTTTATTTCGAGCCAGAATGACGTTCAGAATGGTGTAATCAGTAATTCTATAGTATTATCATTTGGATCATAGATTTCCCATCTAGAACCGTCAAATGATAAAGGATCAGTTAAAGATGTCTGACAAATTAGCCGAAACTGTGTTAGCTGAGGTAAAAGTGAAAGCAGTAATTCAACACTGTTCATTGTCACATTAAAATTTATGTTTAATGATAGTGAAGTTAAATGACTGGACTGCGTAACAGCAAGTTCATCGAAACAATTCCCATAAACATCTTTCAGAATCAATGTTCGTAGCTGAGGTAAGTGACCAAGAATATAGTCAACTGTATCCTAAGTACAAGTACTACAAACTATTATGGGCTCCAATCTACATGAAATAGGCCATTGTATTTGATTGAGAATTCAACTGGTTGCTCTGAATTCCAGTTTGTGAAGATCATTGTGCGATACAATAGATGATAACACCACGCTCATATTATGGGTATAAGAATAATAAGCTGATATTGAGAATTTTATGAGAGGATATTGCATGATATGTTTCTGAAATTCATTCACATCTTCATCTTTTACGTTAATTGGAGTCAATGGGCGTAGTCGAACGAATATGTCAAAACGAAAATGGGAAATAAATAATCGAATCTGACCAGGGTGTGGATGTAGGTATTGTCCCGAAATTCGGAAAAAAAATCCGGAAGAAAAAATCCGGAGGAAAAAATCCGGAAAAAAATAAATCTGGAAAAAAAAATCCGGAAAAAAATAAATCTGGAAAAAAAAATCCGGAAAAGATAAAATCGGGAAAAATTCTGTAAAAAAGATTCAACAGTTTATTTAACAAAGAAACATGTACAATAAAGAAGAGAAATCATTTGATACGAAGAGAAGTGATGTAGTTCACTTTTTACTAGNTGTAAACCGGCCGGTTACCGGCCGGTCCGGTCCGGGTGAAAATGTCAAACCGGCCGGTCCGGTCCGGTCAGAAAAAACTCGACCGGTTCCAAGTCTGATATCAAATAGATTCTTTTTAATTAATGCGATGTTTTTTTTTGTCTTTCTGTTCAAGCGAAACTAATTATAATGCCATGAAAATTCATTAGATGTAAATATGATTGGCTTGTTGTTTAATATTCAAATAAGATTTAAATACAATATAAATTTATTCTTTTTTTTTTTTTCATATATTTTAGCGAAAAATTCGTCATAGAATAAGTCGACGTAATCATGGTAAAACTTCCGATGAGCGTCATCATCGTAAAGGTGTTGATAATCCATCATTTCAACATGATGAATCTCAACATGGAATTGAACGTATAACATCACCAAAACGAAATCGAAAAATACGATCAAGTATATTAATTTTTCTCATTCGTTTTATTTTGTTTTAAATCTAATATTTTCTTTTATTTAATATAAGGTGCAAGTCCAACAAAAAAACCTCGTAATCCAAAACCTCGTACACATAGTGAAAATCGTCCTGTAAATTCTCATATACGTTCACCACAACAACAAGATACATCAATTTTAACAACAACACAAGCTGGAGCTTCAGCTATTTATCCATCATCATCACGTCATCAACGTCGTACACATTATAACAAAAAATTACAAAAGAAAAATTCTCTTGATGCTAATTTTCGTCGTCGTGTTGAAAAATTAAAAGAAGCTACAAGTTCAACTGAACTTGATATGAAATTACTTGATAAAAAAATGACAAAAGTTCTTTTCAATATGCATGGTGTTCCAGTTGGACCAAATGTTTTATAAGACAAAGAAGAAGAAAATAAAAAAGACCCTAAACAAACAAACAAATTGTTCGCTATCATCATTTTGCTATTTAATTGATCGCGTGTGAATGTGTCACATTGAATTAATACATGTTCAGTACACATCGTCAAGGGTTGTGTGATCATATGACAATCGAACTAACTCTTTTGTGAGCACACGAACGACATTTTTTTTCTTTCTTTTTGGTTAAATGATGATTTTGCGTACATATACATGTGTATATATGATTTTAATTTGTTTTGAATGAGAGAAGACGACCCTTTTAAATAAATAAAATATATCATGAATCAATCTATTATAAAAAATAAAAAATTCTCTTTTATAATTATTTGCATGATTAACTAATTTAGTTTTGATCCTCATATCGGAATCTTTTGTGAGTTTTAATCTGTGGACCAGGCCAATTCGCAACACCTGTCTACTCAAGAAAAGCCGATTGAACTTAGAACGTGTGTGTGTGTGTGCACTCAGTCAGTAGTAAGCTTTCAACTGTTACTAATCTTCAACGTTGATGTGTATTTTGAACAATACTATACCAAAGGATAATAGTCTAACAACAAAATATATATACATATATTCGTGCTTGAGGCATCATTTAGTGTTTTGAAGCGCCATAATATGAAATTCTTTTGGTCTATGTCAAAAATAAAATTATTATTATTCTTTTTAAAACAAATCATCTATTTCAAAAATAAAATCTTCTTAACATAAGACCATATGCTTTAATCTTTAAAGAGAAGACAAATATTTCCCTTAAGGTGCCGATCATGCTGATGATGATGTCATATTTGTTTTCTGCTGTCGTTAATGTTAAACATTGATTTAATTATTTTTTTTTTCGAAACTATACATGTATATATTATCCACACTTGAAAATATCCGTCGATTAAACAATATTTTAAGTTGTTTTTTGTTTTCATACATACTCCCATATTAGTTCGAAACATTTGAAGTTCGAATACTTAAACATATATATATATATGTTCATATGAATATGTCACGTCTTATTCACTTGGCTGAATCGAATGAAAAAGAACTAAACTGAACATTAGACGCGCCATGTTATAATACCTTAATTTGTTCACATCGTCGTAGTGCCGCCAAATGGTAGAAAAATTCCCTATGATATTTATTTCAATAAGAAAGAAAAAATATGTGTCTAAGAGGAGAATTTTATTCACATTCATATATATATATACATAATCATTCGATTGAAAGTAATCTAAGAAAAAAAACAGGTTCAGGTATGTGTATGTTATAATTAACTTTTTATTGAACCTAATGAAAGCCGAGAAAGTTTCATTCAATTGAATTTTGATATTTGAAATAAGAAAATAATATATATTGTACTTATATATGTATTAAATTATATTCATTAAATATAACTAAGGTTTCATTAGAGAAATTCGTTTCAATTATGTACATACGTGTATTTTTTTTCTTAAAAGATCAACGTATATTGTCTTTTAAACTATTTGTAAGGTTTCATTTTAGTCATCGTTCAAAATTAATTTGTACAAATAAGACTTCGTATGAGTCGTGCTTATCCATATATGATCTTTTTTCTTTTACTTGTTAAAATAATTTTGTATGTATAAGATGTTGACATACATAGAAAGTTCAATGAAATTGAATTCTTTTCATGGAATAACTTTCACTTGTGTGATAGAATTATTCTGATGACAATGCCGACATCTCATCTTAGACATTCTCAATTCCAATTTTTTATTCATAATGTTGAAAATTCATAAATGTACAAGAAAATAAAAAAAAGAGAGAGATTGAATTCGAAATCACGTTCGTTAAACAATGCTCATTGGATTTTTTTCTTTTTGTTTCTATTCTCTAGGTGTGAGGATCTAATAATTATTCATAATCAAAAGATCTCACTTTCTTTTCATGCAGTCAATTGACTCTTTCCGCATTATTTCAAAGAATGAAATATAAAAAAAAAAGAACAGTAGGGGTGCTATATAGATTCTTTTCTCTCTCTCTCTCTCTCTTTCTCTTGCTTTTACATGCAAGTTAATCAACTGTACATGAAGTTCATTGTCAAAAGAAGTACTTATGACTTTTTATACTACTCATATTTAGATGCAAAATTACTTCCGTTTATCATACTTGAACCAAAGAAAACAATAGAAGAAAAAAGAGAAAAAATGAAAATAGAAACATAATAATAATCGACATCTGATTAGAATGTTGGCCTTCTTACGTCAAGATGCCTAGAGGCATTTTCTGTTAAAACAATTGTATATGTGTGTGTGTTTGAACATATACACATACCATATACATATTATCTATTTGATGCCTTGCAGCCGTGTCCTTCTATCATTGTCTATCTCTTATCAGCTACAGTCGGCACATTCAGGAAACAATAAGTAATGAAATCTTCAAGGTGCAAATGAATACTGTGTGTGAAATAACAATTCCTTTTTTTTTTCTTTTTTTTTTACGTTGTCTGTGGAATGTATGAGATGTCGGCATCGGCGTCGGCGGCATCGATATGTATGAAATTTGAAGAGATTGAGTATAGTACTGTAGTTTTCATCATTAGACTTTCTTTTTTTTTTTCTCCTTCTAAGATGAAATTTAATACAGTTAGCTAGAAAAAAATGACTTCGTGCGTGTTCAACATTGTGTAATACAATCGTTATTATTCCACATTTTTTTCCTTTCTAATGAGAAGATGACCGCTAGACTAAGATTGCTTGAATCAGACTGACTACCGGTAATTAACGATAACGTGCATGTAGAGAAAAAAACGGGAAATCACGTCTGACATTGTGTATATGTATATGGATATATATATATACGCATATATGCGTGTGTTCTGTTAAAACAATCACCATTCATAGAACATAAATCATTGTTGAAACAGAAGAAGACGAAGAGAAAGAGAGATTGAGATGGTCATTTTAGTCACGTACAAAACGTGCGACTCATTTAGTTCAATAAACTTCAATATAGTTTTCTTTTTTTTTACTGTTAGTGGAACAAATGGACAACCTCGTTTTTTTTTCTTTTTGTCTTTAGGAGAAAATGACACAAAAGGTATATCCTCTTCGTATTCTTTTCTTTCTTTTTTCCTCTCCCCTCTCCCCTCTCTGTCTCTCTACTCTTTTCTTATTCTCTACTCTCAATGGTCATCATTGGTAGTTGTCCGACATAGAGAAGAAGAGAGAAAAAAAGGTTCCGTGTAAAAACATTTGCTAACTATACATACACATACATTGAAAGAGAAAGTATGTATATATACACATGTATTGTCCACTTTGTGTGAAGGTGAAATGACATTAACAAGAACTATTATTTGAAGTTATTTTGTAATTGATACTTTAGATGTTAGTTTACTTTTTTTTATTTTTTATTTTGTAGATGTATTTCTTTTTTATATTATTAATTTTTTTAAATTTATTATTATTTATTCAAACAATACAAATTCAACGAATAAAAGTACGTGAAAATGTTAATGTAACAATGACATGTCGACTTAATACAAGAGAAAATTTATTAACAACAAATTATCTAGCATCTATACCATCATTAACATCATTTAATAAAATATTTGATAATAATTATTCAGGAAATATTATACTTTGGTATAAAGATGATATACAAGTTATTGGTGTTAATTCAATATCAAATGATCCACAAAAATATATAATTCATCAAGAAAATTTTTATACATATCAATTAATTATACTTAATGTACAATTAGAATCATCGGGTTTATATAAATGTCAAAATTTTACAGCTAAAGAAGAAAATCTTTTTCAACTTAATGTTATGGGTATGCTTAGAAAGTTATGTGATATAGTTAGACCAGAAAAAATAAGAGAGAATAGATGAATGTTTAGCATCGAAGATTAATCTTCTTTTGACTCAACAACGTATGTGTCTGTTATTATTAGAATATGTCAAGCAAACCGTTGGTAGTAGTAGAACCGATATGTTAATTCTTGCATCATATCTGACAACATCCAAATATCGACATATCAGCATGAGTAGTTATCATAGGAGAAACAAAAAAAAAGAACTACTGTTTTCACGCTTCTATTACAACATATATATATCAAGCAGCTGTACAAAAGTTCCGGAAAATCAATCTTTTCCTTTTTTTTACTATCAGTGATAGACAAAACGAGAATGAATCTTTTTCTCAGCTTGAGATGTATGTTGACATTTTTTGACTCAGTAATTATTCTGATAGATGATGTAATAATCTTAAAAGAAAGAAGAAGAAAAAAATAAGAATGAGATACTATATGTACTATTAGTCTGAAGATGAACGACTCGTGCGTGAGAATTAAGAATATAATTACCAACTATTATTTCATCCGCATGACAGAATTTTTTTAGTCAAAGTTCATGTTCATTGAGCTGCATGTATTCTAGTCAAGAGTCAATCGAGAGATCAAGGCAAGCATCTGCTACTCACGGATACTCCTTTAAACGAACAGCAATGAATAAGGATGTCAATGAAGTTAATCATCAATCATTTTCCATTGAGAACAAAACTCGTTAATTTGGTGAATATGCACACGTATGCATGTTTAATAGAAGATGATTCTTTACTTTCTCATCAATGAAAAGGTTACAAGAATAAAAATTCTCTATAGGAAAAAAAACAACAAGAACAGTCGTACAATCAATTATGATAGACAAAAACCATGCCTGTTCAATATACAGTAAATGAAAGATGACAAAAAAATAATCAATTTTCTTCTTTCTTCTTTCTTCTGTAAATCAGATAAATAGAAAGATTAGAGGTTATTCTCTGTTCCATATCTGATGAAGGTTTTCTTTTTTTTTTTTTTTTTCATCTTATCACTAATTAGTATAAAAATGTCTAAATTTGACAAATAAATGCAAAACAATTAGCCATCATCTTTTTCATTGCCTACTATTTATCTGTCATCCGACAGGAAGGATGAACATTCATTAGTTACTCTGGACAATAGACGAGAAAAAAAAAA